TCCCTGGGAACACAAAATAGCAGTCTCTTTAAGACGAGTAAAGTGCGACCAGTTACGTGTAAGCAAGAGGCGACTTTTGTCACAATTCTTAGTATAAAAGCTTTTTATTTTATCTTATCGAAATTACAATGCTTTTTTTTGGATCAAAAAAGCCTGTTTCCTGCTTCAAGTGTTTTGCTCTTTGCATGCACTTATTTTTAAATACTAACGACGTCCGAGTGGCACCCGAAGAGAAGGATCTCCGTTATAACTGGGGCACATGTTGCACCAGCTCTTCGATGGAACGTCGTAGTGTTTCTTGCCACCGACCCTGACTGCTCCATAGTATATCCCTGCATACTTCAAGCAGTGCTTGCGGAAGAAAATTTTTTTTTGACATAGCTTGGACATATCCCAAAAGAAAGCGTTGTCACACTGTAACCGAGTCCAGCCATAGTGTTGACCCTGTGAAGAACATACAGATACTTAGATACTTAGCTTCAATGAGATAGCGTCTTCATTCTTTGAAAAGAATATTGAAATGTAAATTGTTGTTTGAAAGTTACGCGCTTTGGATTGAAAGTTACAGTTATGCGAATGTTATGTCAAATAGTGAAGCCTACACTTGCGAGGCTATTTACAGCTAGAATACATCTACTGCATGGCGATCTATCATGATCACTAGTACTACTAGTAGCTACTCGCTCTCTATTTGATAAATAAGTTCCATGTTGCTCATCGGATAATTATCAAACAGTACATCTGAATGTCATGAAATTACTTATAGTTAAGACAACAAATGATGATAACTTTTTGATGTGTTTTCGACTTTTCACAAGGCAACATCACCTTTCAAATATCTTGGGTCAATTACAGACCAGCTCTCCAAAACTTTCTGTGTAAGGAAATATCTAGGTTTTACGTATTTTCCCCCCCCCCCCCCCCCTTAGGGTAAGTTTTGAATTTTGGTTTGAAACCAAATCAGCAGTAATTCTATATTGCCTTGGATTTTTGTGCTATTTTATCGAAATGTTTTGAAGCTAAGCCGGAGGATAGACTTACACAAGCGTAGCAGACATCATGTTTGTTGCAAGCTTTGTTGAAATATCTTTTGTAAGGAAACGGCAGGTTTCCAGGGATGCTGCAGCCATTCGTTACACAATACCCTTTCACCTCTAGATTCAAGGACGAGAATAACAGCAAGCCCAAGACAATGAGGTTTGCCGTTGTCATGTCGAAATTCTGTTAAACAAATGAACCAGTTAGCACCTAAAATGAGTAATTCACAAACTGCACGTCTCACTTTCTCTTCTCTTGTAATGCGAAACGTATTGCAACCCCTGACCTGACAATGTTTCAAACTATTTCAGAAAGTAATTGATTCCCCTACCCCTCCTCAAAAAAAGAGAAACCATCCATCTATAACCCAAAGACTCTGAAATTCATTCTTTCCACATATATTTTGCTCCCTCGCCTTTCACAATTAACAAACTTACTCTGTGTAAAGTTTAATGCAGAGAATATTACGTGACGATTTCCTTTCTTTGAGCGTTTAATCGTATGGCAGCTGGTTAGCGTTTTGTTGTACTGATTTAGGGAAGTTACGTGAAAAAAAAAACATTGCGTCAGTAAAATCGGACCTTTACATTTGACTGTTTTTCTGTCAAGTTTTAGAACCCACCTTGCTCTCACTTCCTTTTTATCTTAGTCTGATCTGTTCTGTTTACTTCCTTTGTAAGTTACGCTCGCAGCGAGCATCATTTGTTACACTTGACATAGCGTGTACGTGATTGAATTTTTTTCTCCCTCTTGCTTGCTCCGTAAGCGCTTAACGGGCGATAAATAGCTGTACATATGTTTCCATAGTGTAAATGCAGTATTTTTTCCCTAAGAAAATGTGTACAGTTTTGCGCAGCTCGCCGAGGTTTTATTGGATACCACTGTACCTAGCGCATAATACTAGAGATGGGGAAGATAAATGACACACACTTACTAATGCAGTTTCCTTCATATTTATTTTCTGAAAATGCCCCGCGGAAAACGCAGGAGACCCTAATTTTAAACAGTTTTTGGATGAGCATGCCACCTTCGTCGCTCGATATTTACTTCTCGTTCGTACACCTTCAAAATCTCACGCTACGCCCCTGGTTTGAAAGAAGATTTAAACCTCTCGAAGAAATCTGAATAATTATACAGTGTGATAACTAGCCGAACAATAATATACAATAATGCTCCATAGTACGGGGAGGCTGTGATTTCATGCATCTGCGCTGCTTGTGATGTGACACTTCCCTGATCCTACTGAAAATTAGTACTTAGCGACAAATGGAGATTAAGGGGGAGAAAGGAAAATAATCAGTAGAGCAATTTTGAAATTCAACGCTTATGGAATTACATGGTGTAGGAACGATGAAGACGAATACGAAAGGGAAAAACATGGGCAACCAAGTGTGACATTTACTTCCTTAATCACGCTAGAAACAAAGATGTGTTACATATGAAATCTAAAACGTGCGTGACACAGCCTTTCAGGATGTCTCTCACTCTTGCGACTGCTCCGCAAACGCTTCACGGAAGAGAAAAGACTTTGCAAGGTGAAGCTAGTGCTACGTCTAATTTCCTTTAATACGATTCTAGTTTCAAAGTATGGCAGTGTAGCTCTGCAGTACAGTAAACGTCATGCGTAACCTCTCTAATATATCAAGAACCCTAGGTCAACTTCGAAGGCAACGGCAATGAGGATGTGGCGAAACAAAAGATCTTATGTGCAGCACAATAGCTGAGAACGGGCGTTCTAAACTTCGGACATTTCTAGGCAGTCTTCTACAAAACAACATTATATCAGCAAGACTTGCGTGGTCTGAGAGCGGTAACCCTGATGGCAAATAATTCAAGTTTCTGTTTGGAACTCATCGCTGCTTACGAACGTTATGCTAAAGTTGACGTTTGAAGCCGTAAGAGACAATAAACACATTCAGCCAATTGCGAAATTCTGGGTAAAAAGTACAGAATGATTTTCTAACCGAAGTCTTCCGTTGTGTTTCCTACCTGACTGCTTAAGGTCTCTCATGAACATAATAGGACTCGAAGGGAGAAATAACGTTTGTTTGATAAATTAATAAAAAGGAAACGTGCTAAGTTGACAAACCCGGTGGGACGATGAAATTGTCATATCACATGTGTCATGAGAAGCAGCATTTTCTTTAGGGGCTGTAAAAAGATATCATGATTGCAAATTGGAGTAGGGTTTTTTTAGCTTGATATCTATATCATAGTGTTTTTTAGATGTGTAGCAGAAAAAAACTTTATGATATGAGCCCTCTTTGCATTTGAATTTGCCCCAAAAGATGCTTGATGAAAACTTTCATCATTGGATGACTCAAGAGTAAACATGACCAATACAGCTCAATGCGCATGTTTAAAAAGATACGTTTTTAAAATTCTTTTAAAACTGTTAATTGAAGAACTAGGTCTTTGTCTGAGTGGGATTGAGTTCCATAGTCTTAGCGCCGCCACAGCAAACGTTTTCTCTCCGTAAGTCTTTAGTATCGCTTTCGGGGTTGCCAGAAGGTGTTGAGAAGACGACCTTAGTGTCCGTTTAGAGGTGCGATAATTCAGTAAGTCATCGATGTGGCAAGGCACTGCTCTGTTGAGAGCGTTGTAGACCACTAAAAGAATTTTATTAACTATATGGTAACGGACAGGAAGCTAGTGGTGCTTTTTTAGGATAGGGGCCACACGATCAAATTTCCTTGTACGTGTAACAATTCGATCGTGCTGCTTTCTTTTGAACGGATTGTAATCTTGAAAGTAGCTGCTGAGGTAGACCATATAGCATCGAGGTACAGTTATCTAATTTCGAAGTAATAAAGGCATGAGCAACAATGGGAGGCCTTGCAAATTGATTTTATGTGTTCCTCAAGGTTAAAACAATCGTCAAATGACGCTAAGATTACGTGCAGAGGATGATGGTTCAACGGTCACGTTGCCGATTTGATGATTTTGCTTCAAAGTAGTTTCAATAGACTAAATGCCCTGCAGGCAGAAATTTTCACACAATTTCCACTAAAAGGTTTTGCTCCAAACTTCTTAAGAATATCAGGTGTTTGCCCAGAAATTACAAGCGATTCCAAAATTTGTATTTTTATTGGATAAATTCTCCGAGCTTGTGCATTGAATATAAGTCGCTTGGTTGTCGCCAGTTAGGAATTCTACGCTTCTGGTCAGACGGCTGGGCACAGTCTAAAAGTTGTTGTTTATTTAATGATCTAGCACTCACACTTTGATATATGACATTGTTTTCCAATTTTTAAAACTTAATTTTTGAAATAGTAAACTGTTCAACTTTGGCAGCCTGAGCTGGTTATTATCAGTTTTTACGGCTGAGTACATGTATGTGTGAATGTATGTGTATATGCATGTATGCATGTGTGTATGTATGTGTGCACGTATGTATGTATGTATGTATGTATACTGAATTGACCTCTCCACCAATGGGGCTTTTCAGGGCTAAATTAGAAACAACCACATTATAATATAAGATAAACATAGTATTTAAAAATACTAACTGACAGGAGGCAGACCAGTTGGCTACATACAAAGTGCACCACATGAGTTGAACTGTGACGCTGGGAAACCGAGAACAAATCTAGTAAGTAGCAAGGTCTGTGGAGGGCTGGAACCTGGGAACATCAGATTACAAGCCCTCACCACTCGGTCACACTGCCTCCACATTTGAATCGTCCGCATGGATTGTTTTCACTAAAAAATCGCTATTTAGTTTGCGTGAGGTGGCAGACTAAAGAATGATCCCTAAAGGACGCAGGACCATTAGGCAACAACACCGGAACAGAATACCAACCTAGTAAATTTTGTTTTATGATCTACCTATTTCTGATACAAGGGATCAATTGACGAAGAATTAAATGGACGGAACAGCCACCCAGTTTTTGGGGTTATAGCTAAACTGTGTACGGTGTAGGGTCTTTTCTGTTTAAAAGATCAGATTTCGTTCACCCATAGTTTCATTCTTTATTTCCCACATTTTGAATGAATTTTCTTTGCTATTCTCTATCATACATCAACACATCTGTTCTTTCTCATTCAACTGCACATTCTCACATATTCAGCGGCCTATTAGGATCTCCGAGATTTTTGGCGCATGCTGCCTGACACCAGGAAGGCGGATTTTTCTCCCAATACAGGTGACCAAAGGATCTAACAGCTGTGTAGTAAGCATCCGCACCCAGTTTCTTGCATCTTTTCTTTTTGTTCAGCAGATCCCCGAGACTGAACCAGCGTTTTCCATTTTTTTCGCACAGTGTGTACATGTCGCTTTTAAAGGCCTCATCACATTGTCTCTGATCCCATCCGTAGAGCTCTCCCTGGAAAGGTTGACCACACACATCCATTACAACAATTCAAGCCGAATTCTCGAAATTTAGCAGAACGAAGGTTAATATCAGTTGTAGTTTTATTAATAGTAAAATTCTTAGGTAATGCTCCAACATTTTAAAATGGGCAGGGGAAGACTGGGGGCAGGTACCTTCAGTTTGGGACCTTGTTTTTATGATTCGTAATCCACAAATATCGGTTGTAATACTATAAACTGACTATATAATTGTAAAAAAGAGAGAACGTAGCGTGGCGTGAAGACTTACGCAGTAATAGCAAACATCGTGTTTGTTGCAAGCCGGAGTGAAGGTTTTTTTGTAGGGAGCCGGTAAGCCAAGCGGGACACTGCATCCATTGGCATTGATTTTACAATCTGACGTTGAGGTCACTTCCCAACTCATCGACAACAGCAGCAACCACATGAATGTGAGAACAGACAAGTTACCCATGATAATCCTGTGAAGAGATGATAGACTTATTCACATTTAAGGGCATAAGGTAATCCGGGATTCCACTGGTTTTTCCTTGATTACGTTCTGTGATTAGTTTAAAAAACTCGCGTCATCTTAACCAATTGGATGCAGAACGCGACGTGGTCACTGGTGAATTCCGCGCTTTGGAAAGATTTGCTTGATTTGCTTTGAGTGATCATCGGTTCTTTAGTAAATTTGCTTCTGTCATAATTGGCTGTTGCCGCTATTTTGCCTCTGGTTTTACGTCACTCATTTAAAATGCGCTCCGAGAATTCATTTCTAATTTCTTTCGATGGAAACTTTGAAAACCCACAGATGAGGATGGACATCGCGCGTAAGTTGTCGTTACACAACTCGAAATAATTCTGCTTTAACTTGAACGTATTTGTTTTTAGAAGATCATAGCCATAGTTTCAAGTTTAAGTGAAATAGTATTAGTTTGCCCTCTAAAGGGGTCTTGCTACGCAAAGTACAGAAGTATCAAAAGCAAATCGAATAAAATCGACAAAACCTAAGAGCTCGCTGTGAAAAAAATGTAGGTTAGACGGGATGAATAGTGTGTGACAGCAAATGACCAGATAGTTTACTGTGGCGAATAAAAACTAAAATAAAGAAAGAATGACGCCAATATCCTCTCTTTTTTATAGTTTAGTTTTCATCAGATTATTTAATGAAAATAGGCAAAATTTTCAAAGCGTGAGGATTATATTCTCATGGCGAAAAAAAGGATAATACTAAATCGCACGAAACTTTATCTTTCTTTCTCCGAATTGTTTCTTCTTTCCTAACAAGACTAGTGCTGGAGATACATGTGATCGGCAATTTGGACACAGAATACAAAAGATATGAAAAATGTTTGGTGGGAAAAAATTTTAAACATCGTACGTTAAGCTTAAACACAAAGAATATTGCCCTATTTAAGAAAAAAGGTACTTGAGGATTAGCATTCATTTACCTACCAAGGTTTTTCTCCCACGTTTTCAGAATTTGTGATCCTGGTAAAGTTAAACCCCAGAGGAGTTGTAGATAAATGACGAAGAGGGTCTTTTTATTTCCTAAGTAGCCCCTTATCTTTCGCGAATGGCTAATGGATCTAAGTTTGGCGTGTGAATTTAGACGGATGTACTGTAGTACCTTAAGATTATACTGTGTTGACCTCGGCTCTTAACTTTTTTATTTGTGTAAAATGTTTTTTCAAAAGTACAAATTTCGGATGTCAATTGTCTATTAAAATCGGTTTTCACTCAAAATTGTAAAAGGTTTAATTGTTTACTTACTATTTCACTTTTGCCACCTTTTTAGACTGCGAATCCAATTTTACTGGAACGAGTTCAGTGTTATTAAAAACTGAATAAGCCATAACTCGCAATTAAACGGAAAACGTTTATTCTAGTTTTCATAGCTCGGTCATACTCGCTGAAACCACATTTCAAGAGGTTATTTATCTTTCCCCACCCTCCCATCCCTTCCCAACATTATGATAACATTCTTGAAAAATCCTTCAGTCACTCCAACGAAAGATAAACTGAACAAGTGCAGAGCTTAAAACTACTGAAGGATCTTTAACTCCATTTTCTTTTAATCAACACTTTGAACCCCTATAAAATCCAACAATAAATCATCTTGATCTGTCCTTAGCAGTTTTCTCTAACTCCCTCTACAGTTAAGACGATTAAATGTTGACCCTTCAAACGCTCTAGCCCAAAACTGATAACTATTTCGTTTGACGCACAATGCGTTTTTCTCATCATAGAAAAATCGCCTTTGATTGATCCACAGTTTTGTCCTCTAACCCCTCTACACTCAGGATCTCAACAGTAATTCTCCTTACTGTCTGTCATACAACTTTTATGATTTGGGTTTGGAGAATTTGGTATTGGATTGGCTAATGATTTCTTAATAGTCATTTCTCTTAATAGTCATTTCTCGCTTGGTGTAGTATTGATATTGTAAGGAGAGATTCTGTCTTGGTCACTCATGGGAGTTAAAGAGTTGACCATTAAGCCTCGAAGTGTGCGATTTTTGCCAGATTCCGCTTTAATGTCGCACTTTTGTGAAAAAGAGTGATAAAGTAGCCAGTGAATTAGTATGGTACATAGGACGTTGCGTTCTATCAAGATGCAAATCCCTATTGAAAAGAAAGCTTCTAAATAAATGCTCACTTAGAACTGAGGACTGACGCATTTGTCATGAACTAATGAAAAAAAAAAGTTTTAATGTAAAAGTTGATATTCCTTAAAAAATGATGAAACGCAAATTTTAAAATTGAAACGGTGAGAATAACCAATCCCAGTAGAATTTTATGTCAAGTCTACTAAATGAATTTAAAGAAAATGTGTATATTGAGTAAATTTCATTAAATTATCGTTATCACAAACCATGGGTAATTACGAAAGAGGAAGAGCTCTCTACTGCAAACAGTGCAAGCAATGAGATATGGTAAACTATCTTTTCACTGTTTGGAAGCTTTTAAGCAGGTCACTTTTTAATAGGAAAATTAAAATGAAAAATAACACTGGAAAACTCTTTTTTTACAGAAAGACTTGATTCTACGGCCAAACAGTGTCAAAACGAGTTGTCTGTAGGGCATCGAAGCGCGAAATCCGATATTCACGATTTTCTCTTTGATAAATGAATAACATCCTTTCATTTGGCGACCAAGCTCAAAATCTATCATCTGTCTTTGTCTCTTCCAAAAATTCCTGTTTATTAATCTGAAATTAAACACCACCTTAAAAATGTTATCAGAAATAAATGCAAAAAGTCTTTTTAACAAGTGTCTCCTTATCAGTCCGCAAACACGGAAGCCAAGCTCTTAAAAAGCTAAAACAACCTGATGCGAACAGACCCTCCAAAATCTCAACTTGTGGACGGCTATCAAAAAATGTTTACCAGTTTGCCAAAAAAACTTAATAACAGCGTACCATTTGCCTGGCTTTTAAACATCCTATCTCTATAAGATAATTTGATTTTTTTTATGGGCGATGTAGATAACAGAGCCTTTCCTCAATACAGTACCATAGTACTACTGTACCTTTTCGCTGTCTTGCGAGACCCTTGAGGTGTACTAAAATCTCACTTTGTAAAAAGGGAACAAAACTTTTCCCACTCAATGCGTGCGAAGCTGACAGACGGACTGAAATTCAACCTAAGTTTTACTTCTTGAAACTTTTGGAAAAGTACACAAATAGCAGATTATTTATCAAAACATGCGTCATTTCATTCTTGAGAAATTAGCTGTCACGCATAGGTAAACTAATATGTGCAATTTCGTCGTCAGGGCGGTAAGCGGTAAAAACGCCCCCGAGCTGAGTTTACTTATTCGCAGGCTTTTCTTCTTTCAGAAATAAACACCATTTGTCGCTATTTGAAAATGATTTTATATAAAAAGGCTTTTCTTTATTAACAGGAAATTTATCGGTAAATTTGGACAATATTATAACATATTGCACGACAGTAAATCGACTAAAATGTTTTTTAACGTCAGTTTAATTTTTTAGGAATCAGAACTCGTTGCTGTTCGTTTTTAGTGAAAGACCAATATAAAACTGAGATCAATCCAAGCCAAACTGTTTTTCTTAACCTCTTGTGCTGGCTAGTGTGGCAACTAAAGTAAAAAGATTGACGAATTGACTTTTTTAGTTGGTTTTATTTTGTTGAAAACCATCCTTTTCCCCCCCCTCTCCCCCTCAAGGAAATATAGAACAATTGAAAGAAAGGACATGTTTGAGGTTCAAAATACAACCGAGAGAATGCACATTTTACAATTTTTTATTGCTTTCTAGAAAGTACAGTTTACTACCATATCATGCCATTCAAGCTAGTTAGCTTTATAGCTTGAGACATAATCTTTTAACAATGTTGGCCTTTCAGTTGATCGCCTTATTTGGATCACTAGGACTTTGTGTACACGTATTGGTGCACCAAGCGGGGGAGACTTGTTCGTAGTGCGCATGCCCGAAGTAATGAACAGAATTGTAGCAGATTTCTGCGCCAGCCTCGTAGCGTTTCACCTTATCCGAAATGACGCTTTTAAGCCAATTCCACGCTTGTGTCAAGAACCGTTTTCTTGTTGAGGTCGTCTGGCAGAATTGGTACATATCAGTTTTGAAAGCTGTGTCGCATTGGGCAGGACTCCAGCCATACAACTGGCCCTAAGTGGGAGAGGAAAATGAAAGTAGATAAGTAGTGAGTTATCGTAATACCATGATTTATTTTCACTCCTCACTTCAACTCAAACAGTCCTCTTTCTTTTAGGGGGAACTTTGGAGAGCTTGCATCACAGGGAAGCGGTATCAATTACCCCTATGTGCCTTATACCGTACGTATTTTGCCACATGTTATGTGATGTTAGGAAAAACTTACACAGCTGTAGCAGACATCATGCTTATTTCAAGCGGGAGTGAACATCGTTTTGTACACTAAAGGGAGGCCACAGGGAATACTGCAGCCATTGACGTGCACTGGACACGAACTTGTGACCCCATATGTTTTGCCGATGGCCATCTGCACTGTAAAGGCCTTATAATCGTGATTTAAGTGCTTTTGAGAGGGACTGCTGAACCCATCAGCTTTTGCAAACTAAAAGAAAGATTTGGAAAGGAAATTTTTGAAAATTATCTCAAAAAGATTTTCTGAGTGAAGGACCTTTTTCAGAGGTCATCTCTATCTCTTATTACGCCTTTATTGGAATATCGAGTTGACTACTACTGTGTATAGGGCTGGATCAGTAAACAGCATTTCATAGCCCTTTACACCCTAATATTAGTATTCATATTCTCCACACTATTCTCTTTATATTTCCTCTGGTACTGACAAGGAGAATTTGTCCTACAATCAGGAGCTTCCTAAATTGGTGAACCTCTCCTTTATTCTCATAACCTTAAGGTGATTACTCAGAAAAAAAAAATTAAACAATAATTCTACACTTTCCTTAAAAGTTTCCTACCAATGCCTGTTTCGAAAAATACAATTTAAAAAATAGGTCACCGTGTCTATTTAAGAGATAGGATGGGCCAAACTTACCTTGTTTATGCCTGTACTGGCACAAATTACGCGCGTCATTTCATCGCTTCACAGTACATTTTGCTGCAGCTGGAGGCAATGGATTTTAAAGTAACACTTGAAACAAACTCGATAGGTAGAAAGTCTCGAGCGTATGGGACAATTTGATATATGTTTTGTAGAAAAATTACGCAATCTTAAACGACATTGACTTCAAACGTACCTCTAGTAGTTGCTCTCAAGGTCATAATCTGCATGCTCGAGTAACGGGCTTTGTGCACGCTTTTAGCGATATCTTTTTTCCCTTAGACGATTCTTTATTTCAATTTCTCCAATCTAAAGGGAATAGTTTGTTCACCAAGATTATGCAATGAAAAACATAGGTCGCCGTGCTCGTTCAAGAGCTAAAGATCATCTTACTTCTTCACGTGGATTGAAAAACAATGCCGTGTTCTCAAAATGCGCGCGCGCTCATTCCCCTGATTACGGAATTTTTATGCGCAATACAGGATGCGCGGTGTAAAACTGAGGATATACCTTAACATTTGATTCAAGGCTGATATTGCAAGGTGAAATTATAAGCCAGTCAGTCACTCTTAGGGGTTAAAGGAATAAAGAATAAAGAGTTATTTTGCTTCTTTCGTCTAGCTCTGAAAGCAGCTTTAGGATATGTGCCTTTTTTCATAAGAACTTCGGCAACACAATGAATAAATTAGCCTCGAGAATGCAAACTCATTTTAGGTCATCAGGGGAAAAAAAGTGGATAAACAAACTCGTTCACTTTTCTTATGTCCTAGGGACGTTACGTTTATCGACACCGCACAAGACTGCTCAGTTTATATTCTCGTACAATGAGTTTATTGGAGATCTCAGGTACCGTTGTTCTTGCGACCGAATCAATAAACCTCATGTTCATTCCGAACAGAATTTTTTAAAAATGTACAATCCGTACAATGTACAATTATGTAAATATGTATAGTCCGATGACGAAATAAGACTGAAGAGTTTACTTTAAGCGTAAACTCATTAAAGTAGACTTATTGTCAAGTCAAATAAACATATGATTTCAGATGTGCTGCCTTCAAATGTGAAATGAACTGTATTATGGTCAACTGTTCCACGCTCCCCAAGTTAATGGAATTTTTTACATGGCTTGCTGTAAGAAGCACGAGTTTTAATCTACCTGATAACTTTACAATATCTGAAAGTGGCGATGATTTACTTAATAGCTGCCCATGTACGCGCGATACATGTCAGCTGAAAGTAAGAGTTCCCTGGTGCCTGTGGGTCACGCGGAAAATTTGAATTAAAAAAAATCAACCAAAGCCTTCAAATAACTAAGACTTCGTTTCATCATTGGCGGGGAAGCAAAAATTATAATCACTGTGTAGAATTTAATTCATCACCAGTTTCCTGTACGGGAAAGAATAACCCTCAAAAATGCGCCCTACTCCCGACGTAGGCCAACAGGTAATACAGGCCAACAAGTAATACCGTCCAACTTGTGTCGAGGAGACATGGGTTCGATTCCGTTCGAAACCCTAAACAGAAGGTCTTTGAGCAGAGTATTTTGGGAAGTGAAATAAAAACAGTACGAAGATGCAATAAACCTCATGGCGCTACGACACGAGTGGCTGTGTGCCAGAGGTCTGTAAGGAGCCACTCCGTTTGCGAGCTCAAAACAAGCGAACTTCCTTGCTTTTTGTTCAGTGCTTGCGCTAATGGTAACTTAATTGCAAGCTGTGGATAACGCTCTAGCGATTTTTTGAGGGACAAAATTAACATACGAGTAGCTAGGGTGCTGGATTGGAGCAGATTGTGATAAGTATTTTTTTTGGTAAGGATGAAGTGTTGAAATGATACTGTTATTTGATTTTAACGGATCTCAACCAAAAAATAATTATTTTTTCTGTCACCTTGCGCCTGGATAAGGGAGCAAGAAAATAATGATAAAGAACATTTATTCATGATGGCCTTTCAACACATCATTAGGTCTTAGTAGTGATATCAAATGGATCCTGGAAAAAAATTTAAAAGAAGATACTGGTAGGATACAAAGAAAAAGAAACCTGGGACGGGCAGTGCGCGACTATAATGTATTAAAGAGAACAAAAACTGACTAAAGCCACAGATAACGCTGGAAAAATTGAGGCCTGACTAGACTATTTGTACAAAGTACTCCGAAGGAGAGCTAAGACGACTAAGTAGAGCCAGGCCTCTTGCAGAACTCTCACCAGCTCACATCAAACTTCTCACGAATGAAGAAGCGCTCGTGCCGTAGTGTTAATAATGAGGGCGTGTTAGCAGGTCACGGTAAACCTCACCGTCTCCCTTAATTTGAATCCAGGCAGAGTCAGCCATGTTACCCGGCCTATCATTCTATAAAGAAGAAGAAAAAGAGGTAGAAGTAAAAGAAGAAATAGTACCTTACACACCTATACCAGTTTTATACAAATGAAGTTTACCTGGAGTTCAAACTATTATTAGAAGGAAGAAAAATCGAGAAGGTTTGAAATACTAACTATCGTTGTCCATTGGTTGATAACCGCGAAATGAGAGGGACATGGGTTCGAGACAGGCCCATTAGATATACGGGAACTTTGAAAAATTATATCTCAAAATGGCGGACGTCGATGACCGAGGTTCGGCTGGCGGCGAAGAAGAAGGCAAAGATCTCTGGTATTGAAACATAAAAAACTTGTTTGTCTAGATTACGTTGGTACAGTCCATGATGGTGATGGTTGGCTGTTATTTATGTTCCGTAGGTCGTCGATTTTGAGTGACGTTTCAAGTTCAGCTAGTCGAAAATTACCCTCTAACAAGGCGATTGTGCTGTTAGGTAAGCAGTGCTTTATAGATTGTGACCTTTCACTTCTTGGTTCGTGTTTCGATTCTCTTTTTTTAAACGAGAACATTCTTTTCAGGTAACGATGGCTCGGGGAAAACGACGCTGATTTCAAAGCTTCGAGGTAAAGAAGATGAAATAAGTAAAGGTCACGGACTGGAATACACATATTTGGATGTTCATGATGAGGAGAGAGATGGTATGATCATAATTCAGTTCAGTGTGTAAATACGATGCTATTTGATTTTGGCATGTGTCTGACATTTTGTATTTTCGTTCTCAATGTAGACAGTACAAGATTAGGGGTATGGATATTGGACGGCGATCCTCTTCACAAAGGTCTTCTGCAATTTGCCATCACACCTAAAAGTATTACTAACACTCTTATCGTTCAAGTTGTGGACATCTCTAGACCATGGACAATTAAGGAATCTTTGCATTCGTGGACAGAAGTTCTTCGAGAACACATTCATTCACTGAAACTACCGCCTAAGGAGTTAAACGAAATGGAGGAACGAAGTAAGTTTTCATTTTAAATAGTAGTAGTGAATATTCTTACTTCGCTTCGAGTCGATACATACGTAGTGGAGTGACTATTTTTTACTTCTGTTTGCATAGCTGGTTAGACTCATGCATATGATAGTTTTTTTAAGTTGTCACTTCTTTTTATCGGTGTTTGTTCGTCGTGATTTAGATTTTCAACAGGACATCGTTCAAATTTTAGACGGCGATCGCTTGATCTCGATATTCACGTAGTCACAGTACCCTATCATATACAGGAAGCAATATTGCTTGAAATAAGTGATTTGCAAAATCAATTTGTGTTTCTGTGAAAATAAAATAGAACTGTACAGTTCAATAATCAGGGTAAAGTTATAGCAAATTTTACGACTGACTTTAAAAAATACTAAGATAATGTTTTCATCGAAAGGAATGTTCTTAAATTATTTACGTTTACACCGCTTATTTACTTTTTGCTGCGATGGAAAACCTAATTTGAAGCGTCTCTTGAAATAATCTTGTTGTGATTTTCATTTCAATGCTCTAAAATGAATCGAATGGATTAACAAGGAGGGGGCGAATATCATGTTTAATTTATGAATTTTGAATTTCTGCATAGCAGCATAAGATCACTTCAAAGTTTTCTTGACATGCAAATGTGCAAAAATTTTAGTTTACAATAAATCATTTGTTGCTATGAATGTGGCTGGGAGTGTATCTTCTTATAGTGGTATCCTGTCATTGTTAACAGACAGAAATTATCATTTTAGATAAAGGTTTTGCTATGTAAATAACATAGGATTTTTGGGGAGGAAGAGTGTTACCCTGGTAAAAGTCTTAAAGTTGAAGGTTTTCATGTGTGATCCAGTGTGAGAGATAATAAGCATTAAAACTTAGAAATGAGGAATTGGAGAATGGAACAAAATGTAGTTTGAAACCAAATAAATTTGAATGATTGTGAAGAAGATGCAGCAAAATACATGGAACTATGATTTTTATACATAATCTTTATAGATGCCAATTTGATACTTACCCTATAAGTCAACTTAGACTGATAATGATTTATTTACAAATCAATCTCTAACTATTTTCATAATTAAGGAATTTATTATCATTTAAAATTGCCCTTTGGCTATATTCCTGCCAGCCAAACAATTTTGAAGAATTTCCTGTTAAAAACTATTTCCAACTTCTTGAGAGAATCAGATGTTGTTTTAAGCACTTCCAAAAATGAAATTAAAAAATCTATATGCTAATAGAGTATGCTTGTGAATTTAGCTTTTTGCTCTTTTTCTTCAAAAAGATTGCTGGCATTAGGTGTATCTCAATCATGTTGATACTAATTTTTTTATCAGTAGCAGTGATTTGAGTATTATTTTGTATTATTGTTTAATTTACCTCCAAATACATTGCAAGGGACTAACTTGCACACTTTCATAAATTGGTATCCAGTTGTTTTGTACCCATGGTTTTTTCGTGCCCAAATGCTGTCAGTTTGTATTCAAGTATGAGATGGTTCATACCCATATCACTGATCAGTTTATACAGTGTGTACAAGTATTTAAAAGACCAGCCTGTGCATGAGCAGATATCAATTGTTGCATATGACAAGTTAATTATTGCTTAGGGCAAGGTAAGTGTGAAATTTTTGATAGAGAAGTCTATTGTTTATACTTGTGATTTTTTTTTAACAATAAAAGCTTATGTAAGTGTGATATTTTCTTCTCCAATTGTTAACGTGGAAAACATACAGTATTAGTTTGGGCACAAAACTACCAAGCTGGGTACAAAATGACTCAACTGACTGGATGCAAAACGATCTAGCTCGGTACCAAACAACAGTGGGTATGAAATGACCAGTAACCTATAAATTACACTTGTAGTTGTGCGGCAATTTCAAGAGTATGCAGAACCAGACGAAACAACAGAGGACAGGAGAAGATCAGGAATAAAAGATGAAGACAAGGTTCTTCTTCCACTTGATGAAAATGTACTCACAGACAATCTTGGTCTACCTATGGTAGTTGTCGTCACTAAGGTATTTATAGTACTACATTAAGGGTTGCTGTTACAAGAACACAGTATAAAAAGCTGTGCTAATTTTTAGGCTCTTATTGCCAAACCCTTTCACTCCTAAGATCCCATCCATTTAGTAATTCTCCATACAACTCTTTTGATATTAACATAGAGCATTTGGTTTGGTATCAAATCCACTAATGTTTCCCTTGTTGATATTTTTCTTGACTGATTACTGCTTAATTGTACTTTATATTTTTCTAATGGTTCTAGTTTGTTTTTTTTTTCGTTTCAGACTGACTGCATGTCTGCACTTGAAAAGGACAGAGATTATAGAGAGGAGCATTTTGATTTTATTCAACAACACATCAGAAGGCACTGCTTGAAATGTATCCTCATCAACATTACACATTATTTATAAGTAAAATAATCACAATTTGTGTATTAGTTGTATTTGCTCTCAGATACACAGGGTTGTGCAACTCACAATAAGTACTTCTCACTTAATGAGTTTCAGGTCTGTACTGCAATTTACAGACCCGGTTTTTTCCTCTGGGATTTATGGTCCAAGCACATGGCATGCAAACCAGAAATCTGGGCAGAAACTATGAGCTACATGTATGTGTGGACCAAGAAAACAAGGGCAGTAAGATATTTATTACATCTCTAGGTTCAAGCAGGGGAAGAAGATTCCAATTCAAACAAACTTTTAAATTCAGCTGGCAGTACAGTAAAATACGGCCCACTTAATTGACCAATTGTGGTGCACATGCTAGCTGAATACTCTCTAACGCAAACAAGGGGATTGAATGATCTTGAATTATTTCCCTTATTTTTTATTTTCCTTGACTGATAAAAGATGGTGCTACATTGTTTTACACCTCTGTCAAAGAAAATAAGAACTGCACACTATTACACAGATACTTAGTCCATCAAATATATGGCCTACCATTCAATAGTCCAGCTCTGGTTGTGGATAAGGATTCAGTATTTATGTGAGTATCAAGATTGGTGTCAAGTAGTAATATCTAAACCTTATTCCATGGTTTGACCTGTACATGTATATTCTGCGCAGATGTTTTGTGAGTTGCGTTGTATTTTTCCTAGTCCTGTAGAGGTGAGAAAAACTATGAGCAATGAGAAAAATATCTGCTCAGAAGAATGGATTCAGTATTCCACTATTACAACACTTCCAGTATTGTGGCTTCTATTTTCCGTAATAATCCTGGTGGTCTTGAAGGAACATTAGGTCATTGGCATAAGGGGTGGGCAAAAGATGGAAAGAACATCAAAAAGACAGGCCCAAGAAATGAAAAAAACAATCAAACTATGGATCATTTGATGAGGCCATTTTGTTGCTCCACCTTCCATCTGTATTTTCACCTGGTCTACAGTGTAATACCATGGTGAAAGTTGCATGTTTTGATGCCTTAATATGGTAAAATGGCATAATAGTAAAATGATAAACCATGTGATGTTGCAAAAAATGTCCATTGTCTCTCTTATTTTCATGTGAGAAAAGTTTTATTGTAGCAACCTTGTTATGAGTTGGTCACTAAATAGTGGAGCCTTGATGTTGATGGATGGTTGCTTATTATTTTGAATGATTAATGAGGAGAATATCATTTTTTCATGGTTGCTTCTTAACAATCCAGAGGTTGAAACCATGCAGATGTTGTGTTTACTTGCACTTTGATACTCAAAATGTATTTAAGGATAGGGACACAAACGATTGCTTTGTATATATTTTTTTTTTCAAATTGAAATTGAGAACATTTTGCTCTAGAGTTGCTTCTCACTTTGCATGCAGGAGTGTAGATATAGAGTTTATTTGTTGTGTTAAAAATTGACAATTCAATGTTAAAAGATTAATAAATTAATTAATCAAAAGCTTTTGTGGGCAATGCTAGGAATGGTTCAACTGTAAAAATTAACTTCACCTACGGATATCAGAACATTTCTGTGCAAACAAGGAATGAAACTTTATCACGAAAGAGTCACTACTGATACGGTACTTATATACATGATTGTCACCAAATTACAAAGGTCACAAACATGCAAATTCTCTAATATAGTACATTTAAATTAAGTAGTGCTGTGGGCATTAGCTGGAATGCCCCTGGGGTGTGCACTTTATTTTTCGGGGATGTAAGGAGGGAAATTAAACGCACATATTTTGCAAAACAATGTTGCGTAATTGATCTTTTTTTTTAAGTGAGTCAGAAAAAATAATATTTCTTTATTTTCACAGTCCAGCAGGTTGGGACTCTGTAAAGAAGATAAACATTCTTAGTGAACACTTGAAAAATATCCAGGCTGATGATGCGTTTGATGATCATATTGTTAAACCTCAACTGAGAAAGGTACTGCTTGAAAAATGATTTACACTGTGAAGGAGAACTGTTCTTCACCGGTCTTTTCTTGTCAGTAATGTGGTGAACTTAAGATATGGCCAAGAAGGTTATGAAATCGTTGGTTGACTGTAAAACTAGCTTCCAAATACGGTGTATCTTGTATTTTTCAGAAAAATTCCCCTACTTCAAAATATATAGAAACGCTGAAACAATTCTTGAATTCATTCAAATCAATTAATTAATTCCTCTCTTAAGAAAAGAGATTATTTAAGTGAATTCGGTTGAGACAGAAACTTTCGAGGCTTCTTAAATGCACTGCTATAACACTTCAATACACGATTATTTGTAATTATCACATAGTTGGCAACACCCGTGGGCGAGATGAGGCGATTCCTGTGTTCTGATTGGCTACCGGAGCAGGTAACGGGCCCATCTTGCCCGTGTGGGATTACCGTTTTGATCCCGCGCTTGGAAAAGAATTGCTTGGAGCAGAGTTACAAATTTGTAACTTTTGAATTATTTCGGCAATAGAGTCGCAAAAAGTGACAGAAGACAATAAAAAAAAAGAAAGAAATTAAAACATAAACGTGTTTTGTAAGTTTATTGTGGTACAAAAACCGAAAAATACAAGAATTAAAACACAAAGTGATATGAAGGCACGGAAGTGGTTTTGCCTCTCGGAAAATGCTTTATTGACCAAAGCTTGATCGGTCAAGGTGGCCGGATTTAAGTCTCGTTTGACCATGTACATGGCTATGAAGTTTTAATTCAAAGTGCATTTGTCTTTTGTCAGCCAATACAAGACAAAGAAGTTACTGCAGAGGATGAACAAACATTCCTCGCAAAACAACAGGTTGGTTTGAAGTGATTATTTTGAAGATTAAATGTTATCGTTATACTATAGGTACAGCATTCCAGAGTCCATTGTCCAACTGTGGAATACCTACATATGCATTCAATTTTCCACCGCAGCTGGTCGTAATTTTGGATCGTAAAGGAATAAATGTGTTTCCACTTTAGATCTTCTGTAAATCCTCGCTTACTAAATTATTCCCAAATCGTTGGCTAGAGATGGCGACATTTGCGCACGCACAGTTAGTCCTTGTAATTTTCCTAAACCTTTTGTGGTTACAGAGTGAAAGAAAAGAATAATTAAAAAAAAAAAACGTAAGTTATAGTTGTGAAAGTCTAATAAATCTAAAACACACGTAAATAGACCATCGCACGTGATCACTCGTCTTTACACAGGGGAAGAGGGGATGGGAAACACACACACTGAGTGTTTTTGCCGTCAGAGGTGGCGCTTTTTCAAGGATTTAAGGCACCCAAATATCGCAGAATTGTTAGTTTTGTGTCAACATTTTAATATTGGTTATGTGTCTCTTCTTCCCTACACAGCAATTGCTTCAAAAGATGCCTGCTACTGTGTCATCTGGCATCGCTAGACCACAACCGGTCAGTACTGTTATGTCTCTCATATATCGGATTGTGCCTCAATTGGGATAATATTACAATAACTTGAAAACTTCCTATTTCCTTTGAAAGTCCTTGATTATATTTTGGCCATACAATTTACGATTTGACGACCCGAGAGGGATTGTTTGAAGAAATCCAAGTTTGTGGATACAAACAAATCTTTTTTAAAAAAGTTAATCGCCAGGTGGGCAGAAAAGGGATTTTTCTGCAGTGGTATTCAAGGAAATCTTTGAATCTCTCTCTCTTTTTTTATTTTTTTCTCTATTTTTAAAATTTATCCAACAACAAAGAAAACAAAACCTCGTGTAAACTGTAGAATATTGCTTCACCAACTAGATGTCTAAACCGTTAACCTACTGCTGGCGAAAACTTTGGTTCCTTTGTTTAGGACATATCTAAGCCCCGTGCTCCAGCGAGCCCTAGTGGCAGGATAACTTCAGACAGAAGGCCTTCAGGTGGAGCAATCTCCGCTTCGCCCAGAGGAGCAAAGGTAGATTAGCCTTAAGCGTAACCACTTCGTTTTTTTTCAAAGTCCAAGTTTATAATTTGTGATTCTTAATCCTTCGCCGTAAAGAAACAGTTCATGTTGATCCCTGTAAGAAAGTCGTTGATGTAAACTTTGGCTTAAAGGCAGATTTTGAAATATAGATTGAGAGCGTAGGTTTTGTCAGATACTTTGATCCCGCAAAAAGAGAGAAAATTGCATGTTACCGAGTGTCAGACTTCGCATTGTGAAGGCGAGTTTTTTTTTGTTACTACAAAAATTTTTCCGGCAATTGTAACAACAAATCAACGTAACCTAAGTTTGCTGACAACACAACTGAGAATTGCTCAAAACCTGTTACGAAGACAACTGGATGGTGACCTCGTGCTTTGTTGTATTTTGATGGACCTCAGCTTCAGTCTAGTTAGGAAGCTAAAGGAAAAGAAAAGAAAAAACACCAGGCTATCATCCAGCCGTGGATGATAGGTTATCAACGTATATATACAGGTATTGAAGGCATTGTCTGTGTGGCAGGTCGAAGGTGGAAAACCAGGCGCAGGTGCGGGCACCAGTGAAGGAGTACTGGCCAATTTCTTCAACTCGTTACTCAACAAGAAGAGCGGGACTGGTGCTGCCATGGGACGAGGCGGAACAGCTGTCAGAAGTGATGCTGCTGCCGAGTTAGATCGTATGAACAGAGCCAAGAAAATGGTCTCCCCAGGAAACGCGGCTAACGACACGACAGAATCATCGTAGGTGTGGCAATTAGTTTAATAAGTTGTAGAGGATGTACAACAGACTTTTGTGACGTGCGTTCGGATTAAGCGCTTTCATGAAATTTATTTTGTATAAAGCTAGGCTCTTATAATTTGGTGTAGGATATGATAGTTTGGAGAAAAGAAAAGTAGAAAGATGTACGTTGTATTCGACACAAAGATATGGGGAGAACTTTTAAAACACAATGGAAGCCGTGAATTGTGCCCAAAGTCCGTTTTTAAATGGTAAAAGCAGAAGTTGGAAAGTAACTGTTAAGTTACCGAGTGAAAACAGCGTTTGTTGTCAATAGAAAAGTGATGAATGGCGAATGGAAATGTAGTGCATACTGATGAAAAAAAATTATAGTTTTGTCTTGGTGTAGACTTTAGACAAATATGTTGTTGATCCTCGAAGGCGTCAGACTCATCGAGCTTGGGGTCGTTTTTGGAAGGTCAATTCCTGAAAAGTTATCGGGGTTTTAAAGGTCTCAAAATGTGGAGAACACGAAATATAAATTTTATAAGCCGATGAAAGTTTATCTAAGGCTTTTTTTCATCAGTGACAAATTATCACCCGTAAACTCTCGTTAATTACGATTTTAGATACTTTTCCAAGATATGTGTCAACAGTAAGTGTGTACCAACAAAAAGAGTATCGATAAATTATTTCTAATTCGGAGTACGTTCACTAGAAGGTGAGCATGTCCAGAAACGTAAATAACTGTCAGCTAAATTCGCTCAGGACCCGCTGCTAATGAATGACCTATTATCTTGTGGATGGTTGTGGGAGATAAGAACTCTTCTCTTGCAAGTCCGTTTCACTTGTAGTTTGTTGGGTAAATTAGGATTCTGACTTCGGCATTCCCTGTTTCACGCAGCAAAAGCGGGGCGAGCGAGGAAAAAACACGAGAAGGAGGGGGTGTGGGGCATAAGAGAGCGACCGAACGACTTCCCTTTAAGTATTTCTTTCGGTATGACAGATCCTGTCATACTCTCTTACTGGTAAATTTTGTCACGTAACGTCATTACATCGCCAAGTGAGTCGTTCAATTCATCCACTGAGAAGAAACGTGCCCTCCTCATGCGCGTGATCGAAATGTTTCTTTTCCCCACCCGTTTTTTTGCTTATCTCCGCTGATCAAGAACATATGACATGAACATTGTAAATGTCAAGATCATGAGACATATTGCAGAAAAATCCTCCCAAATCTTATTGTAAATTATTCTTTAATATTTTTTATTCCGCAACAAGGAAACAAATTAGGATGATGATTTTGGAGTAAGTCGCAAAGAACTTACCAATTGGAAATATGTCTGGCATATTTGAGGAACTTAAATTGATCGCTCTCGAACTATGACAGATAGTTTTTTGTTCGTCCATTGTTGCAGTAATTCAGAGTCTATTTTGTAACTTAATTTCCTTGTGTTTGTGGTGACAAAGCTGTTTTTTATTCAATGTTTATTTTGTTAACAAGGAAACAAATTAGTTTAATCTGTTTCTATCCTCTGAAAGCTGTCCATAACCTTTTTTCAGTAATGATAAATATTGTCTTGTTCTTGTAATTCGTTTAACACTTGAAAACTTTCGTCTTGGGGCTTATGATTTCGATTTGTGACGACCAATACCACTGGAAGAAAGCCTAGATTTTTCCAGAATTCAATTTGTGCTGCGCGATTCTCTTTGAGATATTAGAAACATCACTTTCTTCATCTGTTCTTTGATTCTTTGACATTCACGTTGACATTTGCTTTGATCTAGTTTCGTTGATAGAATTAATGGTTAGATTAAGCAATAGCAAGTTCGTAATAGTCTGCCCTGGGCCTGAAGAGTTCTTCTGGCAAAAAATCTTGCCATGATGATTTTGTTTACTTGGTTTTACTATCCTGTTGGCGCAGCCTCAGTTGAGTGTCGAAGAACCAAAACCAAGGTAATTCCAGGGATCAATCAGAACAAAGGTTTACATTATCAATTGCCAATGAGAACTCAAAGTGAAAATAACCAATCACGTGTTTCGCATATGATTGGTTAAGAGGATGGCACTAGATTTCTGGACCAATCACAAACCAAATCATACTGGATTACTTTCGACACTCAGTTGGCAGTAGGCCATTTAACAGTTGTATGCTTAGTTGCCAAGCCTTTGATTTGGAGTGAGGCTGAAGGTGACTGGTTGTGATAGAGACCAATATCTAGTTAGCATGGTAACAAAGTAATTTACATTTGAAAAGCAGCAACGTTTGCATCATCACGAGGTCACTCTAAGCCTCATTTCTGTTCAAAGCTTTGGCAACCAAGCACGCCACTGTAAAATGGACTAATACTGTAATTCCCCAACGATTTGGAGACTATATTGTCTTCAATTTTGGAGGTGAGACGAAAGGTAGTCGATGGTTTTACGACTCGTCAGCCCAATTTAAATCTGTGTAAAATGGTATTTTCCATTCAAGATGCAATTTGATATGTATATTTTCTAGGTATTTTTGATAGTGGTGTTGGTCGCCATACTACCTTTAGTGAAGAAATGGCAAAGAACGTAGGTTCCTAAGTTTATCCTTTAATTCAATCATTTCTTGGCTTAAATTAACTTTTGGACAACTTTCCTTGACCTTTTTTAATCCCAAAAAATGGAGCTCTTTGAAGTTGTTTTCCTGAGAACAGTTGTCATCCCAGTGGTGAATGTTAGGTAAGCTATTTATTGTGCTGTCCGTGTACAGTGTCTGTTAAATCTATCCAAAAGTAAATACCAGATATAAGCTGTAAGATTATCCATAATAAACCTTGTTAAACGTTCTCAGGTTCTCCGCTGGTGTGATTCGTTGGCTGTAAATAGTTCCATTTCACCTTGTTATTAATCTGGTTTTGATTTCACGACAATCGGTCGAAAAGCGCTCTTTGAACAGAATTGCTGCGACAACTTAGTTGAAATCAAGACGACTATCAATTTGTAGGTGTGCGCTGACGACTATCAGTTTGTAGGTGTGCACTTAGGGCCCATTTATATGGCCTCGGGTAGCCGAGACAAGTACGCCGACCAAGCTAACCTTTCACTTATTTCTTTGAAAAACTTTAACTACCGTTGACTATAAAAATGGCGAGTTCGTCTCGAGGGGGCGGAACACCTGGAAGGGTGAATTGTCTCGCCACAGCAGATAGGGTAACCCTGTCAAGTGGGACAGCTTTTTCTCCTCTAAACACTTCGCAGTTTCCTCACGCGAAAAACACATCGCAATACAGGTCCTCGTGAACTGGGTTAAGGAGGCCTCTGAGGTACGATGCCCTTCCAGTTTTGAATTTTCGAGGTGTTTGCGGTGGTTTGCCCTTGTATTGTTTGTTTTCGATGATTTTGGTTCTTAGCCGACAGGGAGGTCTTAAAACTGCCCTAAATTTACATTGAGAGAGTTGAAAAAAGTCCGTGGCTTTCATTTTCTACTGAAAAAATGTGGGAATGTTGCTACTACCTCACCACTGATTATATGTCATGAATAGCTGAAGTAAAAAAGCTTATCAGGTCGGTGTCTTCTCGATAAAGCCCTAACGTTTTAGCGATTTGTAGTTTCGTAGTTATTTCGTCGGAGAACTTTTACTTTCGTTAAGGCATTTTCAAAACGGATTGTTTGAGGCGACCATACACTGTCCTCGTTGTCACGATTGAATAGGGAAGAAAAAGACGCATTATTTAAGTTTACCGTGATTGTAGATTGTATCACAAACAGTTTTCCAACCGGTCTTCGTGAGCATGTCGGTACAATGGCCAGCAGTTTTATCGTCTGTCACGTGGTTTTTCACGATACTTCTGACGCGTACACAATATGAAGAAAACCTCTAATTTATTTCCATTTTGTTTAACCTTGACCATAGTTATGTTCCAAGCAAGCCCATTGCTGGAGGTCGTTCACAAATGACATACCAAAACAAATATGTTTGAATACACAAATGCGTGGCGACTTGTCAAACTGAGTCGCATGTTTAGTCCAAACTTCGTCTGGTACGTTGTTAATACTTTTTATTTTAGCTCAAACTTACCGATAACGAAACGAATGGCAAGCCTATTGTACAGGTCTCCTGCTTCTTTTAATTTAACATTCTTCCCGAAAATATTGTACAGAGTGTTCAGAAAACGAATCAACACAACTTAAGAAGGGAGGGGTGCGGCTATTCCGCGCGTCCCCACCCCTGAAACCAGTACATCTGGTTTTTCCCTCCTGAATCAAACTAATGCAGTCACCTAAATGACTTGGGTCTCAATTGGTACATTCTTTATCAAATAAAGTTAAACTTCAATATACATACATATTGACACAAAGTGCTCGGACGCCGCTCACTCATGTGGGTTTTGCTGCTGAATGCGAAAATTTGCTTAACAAGTAAGCATGCTTTTTTTTTGTTAACGAGAATGTTTTGCAAAGTGATGAACACCGAAGCTAAAGTGCCTCAGGAAAATCGAGTTGCTGTTGAAGTAACGTAGTAACGTAGAAGTTTTAAGTTAATTTTGTTATTCTACAGTCTGTGCTTATTCCTTTGAGGACCGTTTGTCTTTTGTTGCCCTCTTCTTCTTTCGTCGACGTCGTCGCTTGCCTCCATCTTTCAATACGTCCACGGCGTTTGCTTCATCCGGAATGCACTCGTACCAGATTTTTAAATACTTGTACACGTTACCGCAAGTGTCGTCGTCGAAGAAAATGTTTGAAGCCACCACTTCACAGGCTTGTTCGTTTTTACACTGTCCATTTACTTTTTTCAAAGTGTTTTCTGACGTTGTTTCGCACAGTCTGTCGGATGTGAGCCCTGCTGGAATCTTGGGACACGTCACGTGGTCGTCACGACCCCAGAATGCCTTGGTGATCTTGATGAGTTCGTATTGTTTGCATTGTACCCAGCCCTTCTCGCCTTCGCAGATTACAGTGAAGTTCTATGAGACAAGATGAACAGTTTAAGTTAGAACCTTTGAGTTGGCTAAGAATTGGTGTTAAAGGGTAGTTGGACAGAGATGCTAAACATTCTAAGCACTTCAAAGGTGGATCAAATTATTTTAAATATTGAACGTAGATTTGCCAAATGGCCACTGCCACGGTGATTGGTTGGAAACTGTAGGGAAAGCCGAATGCATTTCGTAGGTGATTTGTGATCATTTCAGCTTACCGGCATGATTGGTTCAGGACCAGCAGGACCCATAGGTCCTTGCGCTCCAGGTAGACCGGGGGCACCGGGAAGACCAGCAGCACCAGGGGCTCCCTGCTCTCCGGGGTCTCCCTTTTCTCCAGGTATTCCGGGAGGTCCAGGTGGTCCTGGTGGCCCGGATGTACCTGTTGCTCCAGGGGCACCATCTTCACCCACATGACCGGGTGTTCCGGCAGGACCGGCTAATCCCGGAGGTCCAGGATCTCCGGGAGGGCCTGGAGGCCCTGGGGGTCCTGGTGGACCGTTGAGGCCTTTCAAGAAGAAGCCGAGGGTAAGGTTTTGTTCGAGCAACTGACTGACCATGAGCTGGTCAAGGAACGGTTGCGTTATACGGTCGCCGATCTTCGGCCAATCGGGTAGGATTTGCTGTGAGTACTGTGAGAAGTAAACGTAGAAGTTAATTAGTGCTTGATACTTATAGAAATGGCAGCTATCTAGATCGCATAGTAGAATTAGTCAAGTGATCGTAGACTCCGAATTACACGTCAAACAGTTGAATATCCGATTGATCATTTAACCTAAGAAAAAACCTACGAAGTTCAATGAGGTGAATGTACGAGAAAACTTTACTGATTTTTCAAGCGACTGACTTATGGGAGAAAGCTGGACCTCGAGGTATAAACATAAAATAGATGCTTCGTTTGTGACCAACATTCGATTATGTTATTCATCTAATTGTTAGAGTTTTTCTCAGCAAAGAAGAAAGTCAACCCTCTTCTCGCCGCAGTTCAGCGGCAGCTAACTTATTCTTCCTCCGATACACCTCAAGAGCGATCGCTTATATTCCGGTACTCACACGTGACTTGTTCTGGAACATTTTTTTTTTTTCGAAAAAAATTTTGACAAGTATAGAAGACATTTTTGCTCGAGAGTTGAATTACTGGCTTACTTTCCCCCTCTGTTCAACGTTGTAACAAAAGAGAGGTTGAAAAGATAGCATTGCGTCAAATCATACTTAAAATTTTTTTAGCTGACTTGTTTAATTTCACCAAATGTTTTGCTATAATTGATATGTAAAAAAAGATAGCAACAACCTGCTATAATCCCTAACAAGAAATCACATCACTGCTTTGAGACGTTTTGTTCACAATTTGAAAATAGTTCATTCCTAAGAATTTTAAGTATAGTGACGATGGTCACTCCATAGTAGTCTTTGGTCTTCTTGCCTTAGCTTTATTTACAGTCCTCTGACATTTTCACACATTACAAAAAAATCTATCTCACCTTCTCTTATAGTGAATATACGAAATGTAGTTTAATTTATGAATCGTTCCACATGGACTGAATTTAAAAGGTAAATGTTTCATTCAGAATTTTTAACACTTCAGAATAAGGCCGTCAGCACCAGGTTTTCATCACATTTTCGACACATTTCTAAGTGAAACGGCACTGGGATAAAAGACTTGTATTCTAGGAGCTATTTTCTTGATATGTAAAAGCAATAAGGAAAAACAAAATGTTGAAGATTAAGATCTAGCACTTTTCACTCCGCGAATGGAAAATGCTACACTAAAATAAGCCGTGAGGAACATGGTGTTCCCCAACCCTGCGCAATTTCCGTAAAAGGAATTATATTCTTACAGATGTTTCAATTTCTAACTTTCCCATTTTCGTATGTTACGTTTTGTAACTCTGCAAATGAAAGCTAACTCGGAAGTTGACTTAAGTATTAGTGTTATAATTTTTTGTGTTAACCGAGTCATACGCTAAATTATTTAGCATTTTAGTGTGGTAAAGGAAAGTTTTTAGGGAACATCTTTGTTTCATAAGTGTCAGATAGGTTTTGATGCTTTGTTGCCTGTCGTGAGGCACAGGGTAGTTATTCCTAAGAATAATTATTCCAAGACATTTATATGTCAAAAACTATCCTCCTTTCCACAAGAAAGGAATAAAAGATGTTTTGAAAACGTAAACACCCTCACCTTACAAAAAAAAAAAAAACAGTCCATAAAACACTGGCTTAATGTTTGTTCAAGAAGAGTAATACGATTTATTGCAGATCTCGAGTAGTTACGACTGTCAAACATTCTAAACGCGAGCATACTCTGCGCAGAATTATATTCCTAACGATGTAAAGTGCTTGTTTTGGTCTCGCTAAGAAAATAAAACGCAATGTGGATACAAAAAAAAAAAAGTTTTTGACGTTTACTGGGCAACCATTAGCTTTACTGGTGGTACCTGCCCATTGTTTACATCAGGCAAATGTTATGCATCGACAAGCAAGTGTCAAAAAGCTCCAAAATTATACGATCTAATAAAAAAATTGAAAAATGGAATGAAATCGAAAGTGTTTTTTCACATTTTGAATGTTTTAGAAACATGTACTTGTGCCATAACGTTGTAGGACAAAGTTTTTACCACGGTAACGAATGAGAGTTGGAAGACTTGGTTGAGACCGAAGCATGTTTAGCTCATGTGCGGAGTTTTATACGGCTTTTCAGTAGAGACAAGAAGATCGATCATGTTGAAAGCTTTGCGAAACTAAATAATGAGGAGAGTAACGCAAGAACTTTTGTGTTTATAATGAGTGATTGTGATGCTAGGTCGGTCACCTAACTGGTATTCTGTCCGCTCTACTTCCTCTATTGCGTTCGACATTTTTTGCACACAAGCTTTAGTCATAACATTCGCAAAAAAAGCACGAAATTTTATCAGTTTGTGAGTTAATCTACCGTAAGATTGTTGAATTCACAGTTGTATAACTAGGGGAACAAAACACCTCGAACCACCGAAAAACGACCTGTCCCTCGTCTAAGATAATCCAATGGCGCGTATCAATAATACGTATTGAGACTTCTCGGGAATAACGGAGAAAATAATCTTCACCTACCGTAGATTCTAGCCATAGTAGGCCCGCAAATAAGGCAAGAAGGCAGCCTATGCCTCCTCTGAGCCCCATAACCTGGAAGTGAAATGAACAAGAGAACAAGTGATCAGTGATTCTCGAACACCCTGATTTGTTATTAATTATTACTGAGTTGTGATTCATCTCATCGGCAAAGTATCTTGGGCGCCAAAATCTTTACCTCAAGTTTTTTAACTCAATGGGATTTAAAAACGTCTTTTTGAAACTCTCTCTTGTTTTTAGTAAAGTAAAGATTTACTGGTTGTATCACTAAAGTTGTAAATGATTGCGACTTAAACGCACAGTCGACCAAGCGTTCAGTTACTAAACTTACCGCTGTAGAACTGAAAAACTTTGAGACGAAATTTCAAGTCTAAAGGAGCATTAATATAAATAATATTGTCTAAAGTAAGTGTACATTTCCCGTCCATAGTTCGTTAAGTTGAGGAAGAAGGTAACACATCCTTGATCCTTCGATCAAGGTATGACTCGGGCAAGTAATGTCAAACGCCATCATAATAATATTTTTCTCGTTAGCTAAATCCCCCTGTTTAAAAGAGAAAGGCAATATGAAATAGAAGGTTGATCAACTCGAACCCCAGGGAAATTAGTTCAAGCTAAGTCAACCTGCGCTGCCCACATCCTTCTGCAAAGTCTATCGTTATAACAAAACCAAGAGTTCTTCTGCTCCGTCGATAATTTAGTCGGCGAAGATAATAAACCTCATCCAAACAGACGACTTAATTCATCCAGACTACGATTGACTCTCTTGCTCTGAAGTCCCATCTGTTTGGATGAGGTCCATTCCTCTATCGACGTCAGACTTGTTAAAAAACTGCAGCGTATCATGAACAGAAAACAAGACAAAATGTCCGCGGAGAAGAAATGGCGTTTCGTAAATAACGAAGCTGGTTTACCAGTGTTAAATCCCTGTCCCGTGTGGTTAGAGTAACACAGTGCTAACTCCTTCAGTGCTCCAGTTCAACCCCAAAAATGTTTACCAATCAGTCCAAGACTAACCTGTGACAAAGCTTTTTGTTTCCGATGGAAAAATAAGCCCTGTCAGTTGCCGTTACCGTGAGGTCTGAAAATGGCTCTGGTCTCAAATGTTTCAATACTGGCGCTCGGGGAGCTTTCGCGCATGTGTGTTGCCGGCGTCCAACCACCTTCCCGTGCTTGACGTGGCATTACAAAGGAGGAAATTTTATTTGGCATGACGTAATGCAAGCTTAACATGCTTATGCTTTGACGGGCCAATCAGCGCGCGCCTTGGAGCTGCCCGTGGAGTGAAACAATGGCTCAGTCATGAACCAAATCGACTCTTAGGTAATATTGATATAATTGGATTGCTATTTAATAATAAAACAAAACCTCTACTGAACTGTCAGGTGCGAGTAACAGGAGACCAGTGATTTAGGACATGTTTTGGCGCCTGGTGACCAATCACAGGCGAGGTTAAGTGTCAAGATTTGTAAAGAACACAAGAAGTTTTGACATCACTGCGCAGGTGGCGTGCAATCAGCAAAACTGTTTTCTCGATTTTTCAGCGATCTAATTTGGGAGGTTTGTCTGATTTTCTGCAGGAATTCTGATTGAGATGTCATATTCCTTTTAAATGACGGCTTGTCTGCGATATATTTATTATAAGGGAGGTTGGGATGACAAAGTTAATGGCCTTTTCATCTACAAAAGCTCTCCGTTTGAAAAATGACTCATCTGTGTAGTTTGTTTTGACGGATCAATTGCTCCACTGAAGATTCAATGGGCAAATAATAAATTGTTTTCAATTCGTCTGTCTTGCTCTCCACGCTCGATATAAAATGATGCCTTTGAACGTATGATCGCTTAGCTAGCAAAATTCGGAAACGATTATTCACCAACCATATCTGTTTAGAAAAGAAATGATGTTCATTTTGTAGTGAATGCTTGATATTACTAACCATTGCGTGCCACTGATAAACGACACCCTCCTACCGTAAATATATAAATGTTCCTTTATGAAACTTTCTATATAGAGTTTGTGAGGGTCTCCCCGAAGAAAGACAACTATTCACTAGTGGTTAATTTTTTTTGTAACGTCTGGAGGTTATCATGCCGAAGAAACATTGCTGTTCGCTCAAGGGATCACTGAAGGGATTCGGTCATTTCATAATTACACATCTTCGCCCAAGGTATATAAAGCGTGCTGTGGCGTGTAGTAATACATCCTGTCTTGACCCTTTAGTGAGCCGTGTAGTTTTCGTGGTGGACTCGCGGCTGCGTATCGTAACGTGAAAGTCTGAACTCTGCAGTAATAAATAAGTTTTATTTCATTCTGTCCTTAATTGTTTAGCTTTTCATGCCAAAGAAATTTTTGCTAACTTCAACTCTCGACTAGAAATGATGATGTTCAAACATAACTTAGTTGCATTGCACATTTGTTGACAATACCCGTGGAGTTGCTAAGTGCCCTAGAAAATAAGTAAATCGTGTTGAGGTTATAATTCTAGCACCTGTTAGAAGGTCGAGTCAGTTGCTCCAGCTAGCCTGGGTCACTGTTGCATATCCGGGTGAACTGAACCTATGAAATGTCAGTTCAGTTGAGACAGGGTGCACAATGGCTGCATATGGGCCTTCTCTTTTTAACTTAAAAAATCCAGAAAAGAAATCTACCCCTTTTTATGTAAAATATGTTTTCTTATCACCCGAATTGACTGTTCCGTCCAAAACTTCCTCAACAATATTATAACATCCTCATTATCAACCTTTCTATCTTATCAGTACTTTTTTTTTCACCGATTGACGAATGTATGTCGCTCCACTTCTCCAAAAAACGTCTTCGAATATCTCATGTAACGTTTCTTTTTCCCCGAATACTTTGCTCTTAGTCATCTTTATAAAAATCCTTTCGAAATATTTCCTTTAACTTTTTCCTCTTGTATGATTTCAAAAGAGCTTAACAAATTACAGCTGGTGCTGTTTAAAAGCCCTTTTGTTGCCGTGGTAATGTATATGACAAAGGAGTAGTATGCTTCAGAAATGGCGAACTTTTGAGCCACGAGAGACTACAAAAATGCCGAAAAAAGTTTGTTGTTTCTGGAGCATACACTCCCATGGAAACAACTGCAGCGGTCTTTGGGCGCCATCGGCTGTATGGTAAGGTTTCTTCTCTATTATACCAAACTATTTTGTAAAACCTTTTTTGGACCCTCCAATTGTTGTTAGCTTTTCTTCTGTTTCTCCTGACAGAACTATTCATTCGACAGTTTGAAACGGATTTGACAACACCAAGATCTGCAGGAGGTACTTTCTCTATCTTGGTGAGCCGCCAGCAAACCAGTGGAGAAGCGACAATGCATTGAAGATTTAAAAAATTGATTTATTTTCAGAGCCCTTACAAATAAAGAAGTGTCGTTCGCATTCTCACTTGACTCCGATTTTATTCTCGACAACAAAATGTCCTATGTAAAAGAAAATTTATACCTCGACTTCAAAATGACTTTTAACTCTTTCTAAAAACGATTTCCTGTTGTTTAACCACTGCAAGGGTCCTACAGAATTTGTTCCAGTCGAATTTCGTTGTAAGAGTTGAACCGAGAGCAGAAGTGGCTTCAAAGAATCGCGATTGCGCAAACCCTGTTAATCTCGTTTGCAGAACTGCAACCAACTTTCAAAAGCACGAGACCTCTTGCTCGTTTTTTCGTGCGTTAAGTGTCAATCCTACATGTGTAGCGAATAACTTCAGCAGAAAATCTTCAGCCTTCCCTTCCCCAAGTAATGTCAACCTTATTCTTTCGTTTAAAATTCGTCACATTATTCCGATCATGTGGTTCCCTATACAGTTTGACAGAACGAGAGAATCGATCGTCCACCTGAAACCTCGAGAAAATTTGTAAAACCCAAGCAGTTCTCTCGACAACTAATAGGAGATGTATGGACAATTTCCTTATAACTATTAAACCTGACCAGCTAAAATTTGCACAACTGAGAAAAGGCTGCTTGGAGACCCTAGGATAAACTCCTAAGACTTGGGATTAATGGAAAGCGCAAAGGAGTTCGGAAAAGAATATAAAAGACAAAGAAAGTTATACAACCTTGTATCTAAAATCATTTCCCCAACAGGAATGGATTATTTCGTCTTAGATTTGTAAGCGTTAAAGCGTTAGATTTCTGCATAGAATCATCATGTCTTCCAGCCTCACGTATACTATGACAGGCTTGTCCAGTCTTTCGACGTGTTATGATACCTATAATCAAAACTGAGACTCGTTCATCGAGGGAAATTTTTATCCTTTAAGAATTATAACCAGGATGGAGTCAAAGAATTATCTTTAAATCATTGCTATGCCTTCTTTGGCCTGTGGAATGATATTTAATACTCAGGTTTCAAAATATGAACCGGTGTCTCAGTTCTCCGTGCTTCGAGTATAACATTTTTATTAGTGGTGGTTTGTACAGAGTACATTCTTCATCTTAATGACTTAGTCAAATTAGCCTTCACCAATTGCAAGCTTACAATTACACGGTTTGATGGAGAGAGAGGAATTTGCACGCCCTTGTCCAACCCTATGTTAAACTGTAAAATAAACAAGCATTCCATTATGTAAATAAGCCGCGCCCTCTCCAACTAACAGAATTCAACCAGCAACCAGCAACCAGCTGACTCGAGATGAAATTTACTGAAGTACTTTGAGGAGCTTTTTCGCAGTTTGATCTCTGTAATTCTCCAAATATCTGGAACAATCAGCCACATTTTTGGCGTTTGGAAATGTTTTCTCTCTCTATCACTGTTTGTGACCGAAGTCTCAGAGGCGAAGTCAAGATGTGCATCAGTAGTATTGACGGATTGGAGGATTGTAATCCTGTTTCCCGGGATGACGTAGAGCAGTCTGAATTTTATCGAGGGAGTTTTCCCATTACCGCTATTCTTGTGGTCCAAAACGGTCCATTTCCTAAAAACAAATAAATCTTCAAATTGGGTTGGGGACGACGCATGCCTTGTGTAAAAAATGAAGCAGGCTTCTCAAGCCGTGTTTCAACGGTTATATTTCCCTTTCTCGAATCGAAAAGAACGGGAATATGAAGAGTTTCAGCAAAATAACTCCATTGTCTCCATATCTGTCTAGAGACCATAGAGCGAGACCTCTCATCTTTCGAAATTCCATGTGATACCACGCTACGTACAAAAGACTGTCAGATTCCATTCGCACCAGAGCAGCAGCACAATTCAAGCACTCTTGATCCAACAAAAATTTCCATAGGTCTCATCTCATACAACAAAAACACGAGATCTGCACTAGCGAGTCTAAGCTTTTCGCTCAACGCATTCCATATTATATGACGTATTTTCCATCTCAAGCTGCTTTCAAAGTGGACGAATTAAAAAGACATGAAGTTGACATGAACACACACGAATCAGCCAATCGGAGTACGGAATCCTCATTTGAAAGGCAGGTTGTAGTCGAGCCGGTGGCTTATGGGTAAATCAGGACAGCCAAAGAGAGAACAATAGGTTTTACTTTGGGGCCTTGTTGTTCGCTCTCTAACTGAAGTTTAGCCCCAGTTATTACCTTTTTGTTCAGGAAAAACATTTTATCAGGGATTTATTTGTGAGTATGAGCGATCTGTGGTCGGATCAGCCGTGTTCTGTGTAAGAAGACATTGACGAGACAACATAGCTACCAGACTTGTAAGTAAGCAAAGCTTTGTGTTAATTATGTTAGTTTTCAACCAGGAAATGGAGTGGGTGATGAATGGGTGCCGGATAATGTTACTTTCAAATTTGAGCTTTAGTTAGTTAAAAAAAATCTGGATATGGTGAAAACTAAATATGGTGGTTGGTTATATTGCAGGAAGAATAATTAGAAATTTTATCAAGCCCTTGTGTTTTCACTTAAGTTAAATGAAATTCTGTTTCACACATTTTATAATATATCTGTTCTTTTCGAATTGTTCTGGGATTTCAATTTCAAATACTTTCAAAGGGTTAACATTTTGGATATTTGACGCAGCTGTTGAGCTCTCTTACACCTTTCCAAATTGGCAATTTTTGTGTTACTTGACAGTTTTTCTCACTTATCCTAAGTGCTTCGCAGTTTTCCTGCTCTTGTACAAATTCAATTAGATATGTTGACCTTTCCGAGCAAGGCACCAGCTTACCACCTGCGCCATGATACGTTGAAGGAACCGGCGTCGCTATTGTCATGGTAACCGCTTTGATTTACCTTCGCAACGCGAAGTGCTTCGTACAATTGACAGCTTGACTCTACGTCGTGGGACAGATGCTCAAACGTGTATTCATCTACAAAACCACCCTAAACAAGATTTTCTATAAAAATTAATGACTCTGTTTTTCAAGACTGCAAAGATAATGTTTGTGTTTCTGTTCGAGTAAAATGCCTCTCTCAAAGAAAATTTCCAGTTTCTCAATTTTTCCGTAAATTTTTCTCCGGGAAGTAAAAACATAAAGAGATATAATAAATCGCAATAATTTCTTATTGCTCCAAAAAGACCATTACGGTTCTGCCGGTTCTGAACTAGCATATGTGTTTAATTTTGCATAATTGTTTAGCAAAATAGAGAAAAACTATGAAAATACTGGCTGCATATTTTGATGTTAGGGATTTCTTCTTCCTCCAAGCATACTTCTTCCGATTATCAAATTGAAATCACCTAAACTGTTAATAGCTTTGTCATAAATTAGGAAAATAGCGACAAAAGCAAACTGTTTATTAGTATTGTCCTATGTTAGTAGGGTTCTACTGCGGTTGATCAGTAATAGTGTAGTGTATTAACTTAGGCTTCCTTTAAGACATCTTAAGTAGTGAATCACCAATTTGTTTTGGTTTTTTGCACCACTGAGTTGCCCATTCTGTTCTACGATTGATAACTTTCTTTGGTATCTGCATTTATCATTAATTTTCAGCCTTGGTTAACTTATTTTAAGCGTGGGTTGCAATCGCATGAATGAATGAGACTTCAGTTGCAGGAATTTTCTTCATCTTAGGAAAGTTTGACGTTGGCCTTAGGTCCTAAACCCGCTGTTCAGGACATTCTCGCGAGCCCGTGAGCTTGTCTCTTTGGAAAACATAGCTCATTTTAAACTGACATGGAGTCCAATGGCTTAAATCTTAATTTTTAGATGACTCCAGTGACAGCCCTTTTTTTTTGTTCAAACTTTTTCACTTTCTCTAAACACAGGTGTCGGGAAACGTAGACAATCTCTTGTCGCTAATCTCCGTAAATACCACCACTTATGACAATAACATGCTCTTAACACAATCACTGCACCGGTTTAAAATTTCATCGTATTTCCCCATAGTTCGACTCTGTTCTGGTCAACAGAGGGGTTTCTCACTTATCCTAAGTGGTATTGTATGCTCTCTTTTTAAAACATGAACAATGTAAGCGCAAGAAATCGAGAAAACAGATCGCCTTTCTTTTGCTTATTTTCCATTTACAAATAACCTTTACATGATGACAAAAGGTGTACAAACAAAATTTGACACCTGCTCTTTTATGCAATTCACAACAAGAAAACCTGTTTTGTTGTTATCTTTTTTAAATTTGATCGCGATATTTTCATTTTTTTTATACTTCCTTTTTTTCTTTGCCTCTACACATTTTTTTTAACGCAGCCTTTCAAATCTATAGGTCATGTCTTGAAACTCATCAGTCGAATGGCGAAGTTTTTCTTTGATAGCTGAGAAGAGGGTTGATTTTCTTAGAAATCCAAAATCCGACGCCTTTTTTTTTCTCCCAACTTCTTGTATGGGAAGGGACTTTTGTTTGTCAAGTGACCTCTACCTATGACGCTTTGGAAACTAAAACTCCTAATTAAATTTTAGCTTGCCCCTTTTGAACTTGCTTAACACAAGGAACGCTTAAGAGAGTTATAAATTTTACTGTAATTGATTTGGCTCTGTTTCCTGGTAAAATAAACTGTAAATTGGAGAAAGAGCTATTCGAGTCCAAAGTCTCGCGCGCATTTAATTCTTAAATTTGTGTAGTATGACATGGAATGTAGGATTTTCATTCTTTTTGCACTGATTTTATTGAACTACGCTCCACAACAAAGGTAATCATGCTTTTGGGATGTTTTGTTATTTTAACCATTTGATCTCCACCTCGAAACTGGAATCAAAATTAACCCTTACTAAGAGATCCTGGTCATAAAAACTCATGGACCATCACAACATCGTGTCGCGCGAAGCCACGAGAAGTCAACACTATAAGTGTGAATACTGTTTATACAACAGTGTATTATTGACTTTATTCTAACAATGAAATGGTTTGTTACGCTCCCAACACGACGCCAGCGCTACAACACTACAGTATTGTACACTCCGTCGCCTACGCTCACCAGGAGTTCTAAGATAAAGGGAAAGGTTATAGACTCGGAGAAAACACTGTCAGTAGAATGACAATCAAACTTAATTACCTTGAAGTTATTCACTGAATTGCTGTTATGGTCGGGCAAAACTGTGAGAGTTTATAAGTGGTGTTTCTATAACATTTCTAACGTCTTTATTTGTAAATTACCGTTGTCTTCTAGAGTTACCTTGAATGAAAAACTCCTTGGGAAACAAAGATTTTTGAATATTCTTATCATTGCCTTCTTGACCTCGAAACACAGCTCGTCCAAGTGACACTTATGTGATTTCTGACACTTTTAGATTGAGTAACATTACGTCAGATTCCTTTCATTCTCCAAGACACAACATGAAAAAAGGAGAATTCTAGAAATTTTTCGGGTCTCTAATAATTTCAAATCAAATTCTCAGTGAAGCAAACAATTGCAGCATCCATGTTCCATCAAACTCGAAAACCGTGCAGACAAAATCAAGGCTTGATTTTCAAGAGAGCGTCAATGATAAACTCCAGTGTTTATTTGAGCGTGTAGTCACACACTAGCAACCTGCTCGCGCCAAAAATGACGAGCCCTGATTGGCCAGTCGGTGTTAAGGGTCAACACATTACGTCATCGCATCTTAATGTTGTGTATGAAGTGTCTCAACTCTCACGCGGGGCCGGTGATGCCACGTTGGGTGCGTTACCATATCGCCGCTAAATATCGTAGGCTCGTCTCAGGCGCCGCTCGACCAATCAATCAAACATCTCTTATTGTGGAGATAATTGTCGGAATCAGTAGAGCCAAAAGCGCGGACATCTTTTTCTGTTAGTGCCGTCAAGTATTTTGGGTTCAACGGGCTAACATCAGCAGGTTGGTTTGTGATAAGCGTCGTTTTCCTCAACGAATGCGAATACTTTTTTCCTGGATCAAATGGTGGTTTGATATCGGTGGGAGCTGCCTTGGCCGTTTGAACTTCTATCAGTTCAGTCATCTTTGACAGGACAAGTGTTTCACAACGGTGAGATTCACTAACCGCTGGCATTTTCAAAGGAGAGCTCACAATTGAAAACAACAAAGAAATTCAAGGCGTATTGATATTCCCGGTGTCACGTATTCTAGTTTTTACGGAATTTTTCTGCAGACGTTACTGTGATATATTTCATCGTGCAAGACTTATCCCACCGATATCTACCATCTACTTCACTGAGGGGCTGTATATCATATTGATAGGTGAAGTTATTTGTTGGGGGAAAATACGGTAAGTTAGTGCACATTTAGATCTTGAAGACCTATCGCGAAAATGTATGACATGTTTTGTGTGTGGCTCGCGTTCGAGTAAGACTCTGTAATGAAGACAGGCGCGCGAGGTTAATTGAAACACGAGTATAATTTTGTATACTTCGAGTTTCTACTGAAAGTTACTGTTACTGAAGGTTTGCATATTTAGAACAGACAGACTCGTAAGGGTTTTTAAGAAGTGTTATGGGATGGAAAAATAATACAGTGCAGATCTTGTTGTCCGGGATACAACAGGTAAAAGAGCAATTTTCATTTTGTAAGGGAAGAGAAGGGGTTTTCAGAAGTCTAAAATGAGATGTCATCTATAGAAGATTCCAATCATTTGTCCAGTTAAATGGTTTATTTGGTAAGTTTTTATCTGACTGGAAAGCCCGCGAAAAAATATTTTAACAGAAAATTTAACTTTTTCCTGGATGAAAGATCATCGTTAGCTAAAGATTGAAAAATTACAAACCAGAACAAGATATGTCAAAATACTAGCTTGTGATTGGTGGAGAGGTGACAGTTTCTGCACACCTGTCGAGCGAACCAGTCAGGGGAGTGTACCCTTTCCTAGATACAAAACTACGTTATCCCCAAATAGTTAAGTCATGAGAGAAAGATAATTAACAATTCATTCACCAGTTGTCTAATATATAAACAATTTACCGGTGGGATGAAGTCACGGTAGGCAGGCTAGAAACCCAACGCCCCATCGCCCGCCTATGTTGGCCTGACAGAAAGTGCCAGACATTTGAAAATAGTGTTTTGTGTTTATTCGCCAGGTCATGAGGCTCGCATCCTTGGCGGTACTAGTCGCCATAGGCCTAGTCCATTTCAAACTATCGGTGAGTACGAGTTTTAAAACGATTCATTAATTTTGGTTTACAAGGCATGTCGACTTGGTCGATCGAACCTTTGATCAATGGAACGATTGATCGATCGGTTGGTGGTTGATCAAGGGAGCGTATCAATTTGGATGACTTCCGTCGTGCTTACACAAACTTATTAAATGCAAACGCTGAGGATTTTGGAGTCAACTTACCATTAAGTTTTCCAAACGGCTGTTATTATAGACATTAACGTCCCTGCAGAATAATATCTGCTCTTAGATGGTTATTTACGGAGTTTATTTTTAGCTTTTAGTCAAGTGTGATTTGGATTCCTGAAGTTCTTTTAAGTTCTTAGCTCTTAAATTCAATTACTGTTCTAGAAATTTCAATGTTCAAATCTGATATCAATAGGTTAATAGCAGAGACATTTTTAAAAAGTATATCATAGTTTTATTCGTCTGTCTTGGCACCATTTGTAATATTTTTATTCTTCCGCCATATTTGGTTTCGTCCCACCTGCTCAGATGCCAAATATGGAAAAAGTGAAGTAAACTGTAAAAAGAGTTGCTTGTTAATTTTTTACAATTACACGTCGTTCAGATGATAATTTGTCTTTCTCTGTTTCCTGGCTAAAAATTCTAGCTAAAAATTTTTCAAAATATCGAAAAAGACCGTTGGTGGTCTTCATAAAGTTCTCAAGTTAAAAAGATAGTGCTTTTTCGTGGGAAAGAGAGATAGATAAAAGGATCAAGAAATCGGCAGAATTAGGGGCAGCCAACCGCCTCCGAAATCTCATCTATGATCGATGTTTGCTACTGTGGCAATTACTTTGGCGTCATTATACGTGGTCACAGACAAATCGGTAACAACTTTGTCATGAACACGAGAGTAACTGTAGTTTAGTGATTATATCAGGTTGTCTTCATGGTGGCATGTGGTATCAAAGTCGGTGGTTTTGATTACAGTTATTCATTTTTCGTCGTACCTTTAATAGCCATGAACTTCAGATCTATGTGTCTGTAATTGTAACTTTAATTAAGAGGTGTTTGGATTAGGACTTCGATCCAACGCTAACTTAATAGTCACCAAAGCGCTTCGTAAGACCTACTAGTAACTTAAATTGCGTTGTTTAAGAATTGTGCCATTTAAATAACTTCAATGACTAATATAAAATTAATGTAAAGGAAAATGAAACTATTTATATGAACTGAATTTACCCTGGTGCGATTTTAACTCTTTTTTAATGACGATATCGATGAAGGAGACGTCGTATGTGCGCCTTTCACATAAGAAAAGTTTTTCCTTCCAGCGGCCTATCTGTAAACCAATACTGCCTGAGTGTCGTTTTTAATGCCGCGTTGTATGACAATCTGAGGGTAAAAACATCTAAGCAGCCTACTTCAGTATTCTAATAAATCAACTATCATTTCTTCTCCAGGCGTCTCTGCCCGTGTCTCCAGTCCCTCCTCTTCTTAACAAACTTCTCAAGGATCAGAATGTAACACTGGGTTTCATTCTCAAAGGATTGCAAGGTCCTCCCGGTGCGAATGGTATGGCTGGAATGTCCGGTCAGCCAGGTCAACCGGGTCCACCGGGATTCAAAGGAGATCCCGGTCCTCCTGGTTTCCCCGGTACTCCCGGTCTTCCAGGAGCCCCTGGTTTTCAGGGACCTCCAGGTATGGATGGAGCTCCTGGTTCCCCTGGTTTCCCTGGTCCTCCAGGTTTTCCCGGTGGTAGTGGAATGCCCGGTGTCCCCGGTATGCAAGGACCTCCAGGACCTCCAGGTGCCCCAGGCCCTACACCAATTAGATACGTAAGTATATTTATTTTGATTAGCTCCTTTCTAAAGGTTTCTTAGTATAACTGCAATTTGTCTCTGTTTGACCATAAATACGAGTAGTACGATTCAGAAAATGTATACTATTACGACTCGTAATAGTATTTTTAAAAAAATTCATCAAGGTAATTGTTTTTTTTGTCCATTTCCTGCCCTATATTCACGTGCATCATGTATACATATTTCGGACAAGTTAAAATATGATCCTTCTTTATGAATCTTATTCAGAACGGAACAGTGAAATGTGAAGAGGACACAGCTTGGCTGCGATGTAACGAGTACAAACACATAAGCATTATCTCCGCTTTCTGGGGAAGACGAAACTTCGGCCTGTGCACGGAACACACAGGAAACCTACAGTTTAACAAATACTGCCCGACAACGCCTCTCTTTCTGACAAAAGTTAAGGACGCCTGTGAAGGAACGACCATGTGCGAGATAAGATGCACAAAGTTCTTCTTCAACGATCAATCTTGCGCAGACGTATACAAATACTTGGAAGTCTACTACAAATGCATTGAAGTTATTAACGGTCACGAGGTTGTGAACGAAGATAACCTACTCAACGCCAATTTCTTGGGTTGAACGAACGAACGAACAAACTTTCTATAGAACGTTACTTTGCTTCGCTCTCGGCTGTATCATTTCACTTTGCTGGAAAGAGTTGTATTTGTAAAAACGGGCTTGCCTGAGGATAAAAAAACGAATAAATCGCTTCAACTAAAAAGGGCGAAGGCCTCGAATTTCTAATTCTTCGGCGAAAGAAGACGACATACATGGTTCTTGTACTTGTGAACCATGTGTTATATCGATTTAAGGTAGTTTTCTTTCTGTACATGACATGATTAAATCATCTTCGTAGAATCGATCGATATTTACTCGGCTCGACTCTTTATGAAATTTGACGAATTAGTGTGACGCATTAGTGAGGTAGGGTCTCCAGTTTTTGTTGTCAACAGGTTTTTTTTGTTCTAATAAATTACCTTTTGTGCCGTAAGGGCACAGACTGACCAAGGTTTCCAGCACTGACAAACCTCCCGAATTGGCCAGACTGACCAAGAAGCAATGATCAGTAGCTGTTCAAATCGCTTGTGTATGATATAGTGCGATTTATGATGTAATCTTCACTCTTATATGTAAATAAACTGGTAATGGAATGGTTTACAGGTGTACACACGCCTTATGTAGTTCTAAAACAGTAACTCGATCATGATTGCTTTCATTTGGTGACTGATGGATGTCAATGAAGTTCTACTTCAGCATTATGAAGTTCAAGTTTGTCAATAAACGACGTTTCCGTTGTCCAATGCTTTCTTATTCAAACTCCCTTGTGTTTTCCGCAGTATTGCTCCCTTATAAAATTTTTGTTCAAGAAATACAGAACCCAAACAGATCAATAAGGTGTATCACATCTCCTATAGAAAAAAAGCTTGCAAAGCTGAACGCACACCAATAATAATAACACAATAATTAAGGGCAAAAGGTACTTTGTAAGGGTCTAAAGTATCACATCTACTCAAATTTGAGCGGAAGAAAGAGAGTCACTTGAATAGCTGTGAATTCAATTTGACACGAATCAGTTATAGGTCTGTAGAGGTCACCCATGCACTTTTTCATATATTTTGACATGCGCGGTGAAAACTGCATCTGATAAGTAGTTAGCCTCACTAGGCATCATTCCGTGGCATTGCAGTAGGTTTAGTTACAAAAGTACATTCCAAATTAACCAATTCTGCAATCTCGTTAGTCCATTTTAAAATCTGATGCACCACTCTCTGATTGGTGACCACCCGAATGACAGATTTGCTTTGGTGATGGTCACTAAAGGTGAAATTAATTTGAAGTCTAACGACAACTTATGACTGACCTCTCTCAAATGGGTTTACCTAGGCTGCGGTACTGAAATACATAGATAAGGTTGTTCATCTTGTGAAACCTCTGAAAATTAATTTATATTGCTTCTGCCATTGAGCAGTCTTCAACTTAGACATGTGCCCCTGCCTTCCTCTTCATTTTGTCATAATCCTTGATTACGGTTAAAGAACAGATTCATCTTTGTCTATTAGCTTTGAACATCTGAGAACGTTATTTTTTATCTCCTCGCAAACCTCACACGTGGTGTTACTGTAAGAATGGTCAAGCTGGTTTTTCTAATTCTTTGATAATTCGATGTTACCATATTTTTTTCATTCGCTACTCTAAAGAATGGGGACCAAATGCCAAAATGTCTCAACAAGTTTTGTGACCATCCGTCAACAATAAAGCGTTACCACAGAGACACCATAGTCTTTAACATAAAACCTTAATTAGTTGTGCTAGGTGTCTCTAACCTCTGAAAAGAGTCACGCGAACCCCTTTGATAATTTCTGAATTTAAACCAGCAATTCGTTGGAGAGATTCGCTCTAACAAATAGCTAACGCTCCAAACGTCAGCTTTATTACATCTTTACGATGTCCATTTCATTTTCCTAACTCAGTTGATAAAACCAATGATCTTGTAATAACTCCCCTCCCCCTCCCCCCCTCCCACACAGCACCCCAGTTTGTTTGGAAACGCAGCTCTTTTGTTCGGATGTTACAAAAAGTAGAACGAGGAACTGAAGTCGGGGACAGGTAGTACAGCGGTAATCCGCATAGAAATTCAAAATGGCTGATGAAAAGTCGGAAAAAGGTCTGAGCACCAGTTTTGAGCAAGTGTTCTTCGCAATTAGTTAGGAAGACAAATGAAACTTTAATTGAAGTGTTTTTAACCTTGATCTTTGAAAAAATGAGGTTTACGATTATATTAGTCGCAGGTGCGATGGTAATCCCCCAGGGAAACATTGAGACTCTCAGGAAAACAAAACTAACTCTTTCTCTCGGGGGCTGACATTATGTACATATTTTTTATGGATTACAATGCCCTGTACACGCAGTTTGCATTTATGACCTCACATCAACAAAGTCCACTTATGTTAACCTTTTAACTCCCATTAATGACCAAAACAGAATTTCTCTTTACAATATCAATACAATCTCAACCAGATGAGTGATGAGAATAAAGAAAAATATCAATTTGGGGATAATTAGTTGATCCAATACTAAATTCTCTGAACTAACATTGTAAGAATTGTATGGTTGACAATAAGGAGAATTATAGGTTTGATCTGGAAGATAAAGGGTTAACCTGTGGAATATGAGGTATTATCAAACTCTAAGACGCAACGAAATCTCAACTTGTACCATCAAAAAACAATATCGTTGTAAAGAAATTATTATCGAGCTGGTGTGATTAATTACCTAGGTATGTGAATCGAGGTTCATACGAAATTTGGTTAAGTTTCATCCAGTGTTTTAAAAACAGCCCTCATAGATGTATATAAAAATTTACAATATGCCATGAATTACAACTTACGAAATTCTGAGAATTTTCTTTAGGAATTTGTGTTGTCTGTGAATCGATTTCGGCACATTTACAGTTCAGGGAACGATAGCACGAGAGGAGCCTTGTCCCTTTTTTCCGACCTTTTTGTAACGAACACCGAGTTTTCGCGCGCATCCAGAGCAAAGATTCAACAAAAGATCTCCCGTAGAACTTTTGACAGTTATTGAGGACTTCCTGCTGTTCCTTAGAGGTTATCAGCCGGGCGTCAAACAAGGCCCCCTTATTATGTTAGTTTGAATATGATACCTCGAGCGAGGATAACTCAAACTGACATGTTGAGTGCTTCAGAGTCAACATGGCTCAATGGGTTTGCAAAACCGTGACGTTTGTTTACACCAAGAAAACTGCGTGGGCCACGAGGTTGTTGAAATGGTTGAGAGGTTCTGTTCATCAATGAACAAAGATCAAACACAAGATTTGTTGTTTGAAATTATACTTCCAACTTACGAATGAAGGAAGGAAATCTTGCATGAGGTGAGATGTAACACCCTTGAACAAAGGTCTAGCATATCTTAAAGCTTTCATTTACGGGTCACTTCGGTAGAAAATTGAACGATTGCCACATTCATCTGAACTGATAACTTTTGAGACGTCTGGGCGACTGTTCAGGGAGAAATTCAGTTTTGTAGTTTAAAATCAAAACACTGTCTGATTTATAGATCCGTAGATTTATAAAAACCACAAATAATGCTCATACTTCTGAGACACAAATGTGGGACGCGTATGAAAATAAAACTTTAGTTGCTTCGACAAATCAAATTTTCTCCTTCGTAGCTGGCCAAGTTACGACCTCTATTCCATGATTAAGTTTTATTTTAAATGTGGTAAGCTTCCTATTTTAGCATTTTACTTGTAATTGAAACGAAATATGGATGGTTAGAAGAGAAATTTGTGGGTCAAATCGAGATTTCTATAGGTTTCTCTCAAACATTTTTCTTTTTTTCTTTTTCTTTTCAACGTGGCGATAATTCTGAAATGAAACTTCGTCTTTACCTAAGTCATTGTGTTGTTGTCTTACTCGGCAAGCGAAGTGCTTTTTATACATTTAATCCAGAGAGTAGAATTTTTCAGTTTTTTGAAAGCTGACGACCACTGATTGTTTGACTCAAGTAGGGTGACTGAATCACTCAAAAATCACCAGCCGTGTCGAAAAACTGGTGCCTGGCGCGCAAGTCGCTGAGCGCGTCATTGGCGGGTAAAGTGGACGAAGGCGCGTGGCGCGCTTTTGAGGCATGACGTAATCAAATGACAAGTTCAGCAGCATTACCTAACAGCTTGGACTGCGACGGTGATCAAATCGGAACAGCACAACAGTGTCAATTTTATACTAGTTTTAAATTTTGCTCCCCGATTCTTTAGCCTTGGGATTCTTCAGGAAAGGTAAGAGTATTTCTAGGTTTATCGTGAAGTCGTTGAGCTGCACAATTTGCCTCTCTAGTGTTCTGAAAGAAATGAAAAACCCGGGAACTCAACCAAGCGAAGCATTAACAATTTCACCGAGAAATAGTGTCAGCCTGATCCTCATGCACTTTTTGCGATTTCTCCAGACCTAATTAACGCCGTTTTCTGGTCTATTTTGTCGTAAGTAAAATTACTTAAAGTTTTCCTTTTGTAGATTTTATCCACGAAAACATCTGTGATTACTCACGCTTGAAAATTTGTTTGATCTTCTAAGTTAACAGCGAGTTTATTCAATTGAGATAAGCCTTCGAAAGAGTTAAGACATGACTTTTTTCAAGTAAGTTGCTTTGTGAAACATAAATCAAGGTGATTCTTTAAACTTGCAAACGCATTTTCTATATTTTTACGTTATCAATAACTGTTTATTTAAATACCTGTTGCTCTGATAAATATGATTAGGCAATAAGAAACCATATCCATGATTTTTCCTTAATATTTTGGCTAAATTAATTTTGTTTTCGTTGAACATGCTTAGAAGAACACAATCGCCACTGAATCAAAATGACAAATGTTTCGTAAACTTTGGCTTTTTCATACTCGAGAAAAACTTAGAATCTTTGACTTCAAAACGTTTCCACTGAACCGTATGGTTCGAGATCACAGCGTTAACTCGCTGATGGCCTAAATAAATAAACTGACTTACAAAATTAAACAGGAAAAAGGATCAGTAATTTTAAACTCAGGGATATCTCGGTTCATACCAGTGACTGATACGGATCGTGAGTCTGTCCTTAAAGAGAAATCGAGCTGGAAACCCAGCGAGTGAAAATTACACCATGAGAGAAAGGGCGCCACAGGGCAGAGATAGTTATCTTCATATCTTCATTGCTACCTTTAGTCCGCCATGTTTCACTTCTGTCTTCTGCGGTTTTAGTAATTTGTTGTCATTGATCTTGCAAAGTTAAGTGAATCAGTTTTTAAATCAGGGAAAAGAAAAAAATCTCAAGAAATTAAAACCCTGCGTCCTTTTCGCTTGAACGCTGATTTATATTTTGGGATTTTTTAACATCAGATCATAGTTATTTCTTTCAAACAAATTTCGCGTTTCTTGTAGAGACGTTGATATTCATCAAAGAAGAATAGGGATCGCGATCTTAAATTTTCTCCAAGTCTGTATATCATTCTCTGTCATTTTCATTATTCTTCGGTTACGTTTTGCCAGTCGATTTTTTGGTGGAAATATGGTTTTAAACGGTACAAATTCCTCCTTAAATTAACCTATAGGGCACGATTTAATATACTAAATCAGCTAAAACCAACCTAAGGATGTGATATTTTTTCTAGTTATATATTGTGCAATATTTGCCGGTCAATTCAGCGAAATGAGCTCAAATTTGGTCCAGTAAACAAAATCCTAAGATTGTGGTGATTACATTTGTATAGATGAGATTTAAGCCATCTTGGTCTTTAGTTTTGTTTTTTGACAACATTTGACAAAATTTGGCACCTTAACCAAAACTTTGTCACCCACTCGATTCAAATACTCATACCGTATTAAGAGCGCTCTTATTTAAGAGTTAAAGGGATTTAAATTAGTGAATATTCAATTAAAATTTTGCGCTTATGGGCTTTGCGTTAAGTTTGGACTTCTTTAACGAGCCTCGTAGGATAACCGTGCACCCCAGTGGAAGAAAACGTTTTTACACCCAAACTCTTTCATCCCAAGCGTCGTTCATTTAAATTTTTGTCAACCTAAATTTTCCTTCCAAAAGCTGGCTTAAACTCTAAACGATCTGAGCATTGCAATTTGCGTTATAGTTACGAATCAAGTTGTCTTTCAAAGAACCAATTTTAATACCGAGAATAAAGAAATATATGGTTCCTTAATGCATGCGGTTAAATTTCATAAGTTTTCTAACTGGTGCTTCTATACTTCTGGCCAGTGGGCCTTAGGAGTAGCACATTCTGAAGTATTTTATTAATTTCCAAATGCAAAAGAGACGTTATGTCTTCTATCATATGAAAAAGGAAAATTACATGTCACCCCATGTGGGTTATTGATGCGTAACTGAACTGTGTTGATTTGGAAAATTTAGCCTTTTCATTACTTTGTAGGAAACGAATAATGCAAAACTGTTGTTCTCAATTTCTCCATGCTATGTGGCCTGTTTGTGGATAGGGGAACATTCTATAAAGAAAAACAGGTGTCTACAGAGATGTTAAAGAGATTCTTGGTAAAAAATAAGCAGGGCTATGATGTCAGTTGTTCCCGGGGTCGGTGTGACAGGTACCCGTTATCCAGTCAAGTTACCTAACCAAGATTTATCCACCGCGTTAACATTTTAACGACCTATATTTGATTTTAGGCTATGAAGGCTGCTACAGGCCTGCTTAGGCTGGCTTTGGGCCTCGCTTTATTTCTATTAGCGGTAAGTTACTCAATTTTTCTATTACGATAACCGAAGCTAAGCTCCAAACAATCTTTTTCGGCTGTCAATCGGTACTTTGGTCGATATCCATCGATGGCAGGTGAAACCTTGACAAGAGAATTGTCATCGTTAATACAAATATGGAAGTCATTTGAAAAAGCAATATTCTATCTCAAGAAAAATTTATGGTACAAAGACACGGATTAAGTCCATCGGATGACACTGGGTTACATAGTAAAGTATCAAACATAGAGCTATTTATAATGCAGAATCTGATCGTAATTGAATCCAACATTTTACCTCGTACCTAGCAATGTTCTCCACTGCAACGCAAGCCACATGTTCTCAAGAAACGCGACGACATGCTGAGCTATTACTGGGACCAGAAATTGCCCTTAGGCTTCTTTGTTAATGGTCAAGGAGGTTTAATGGGACCTCCAGGGCCACCAGGACCCCCAGGGGCCCCTGGTTATATGCTTGGTGGCAGTGGAAGTGGAAGTGGTGATGCTGTTGCTCGAGGGGGAATTCCTGGACCTCCGGGGCCCCCGGGACCTCCTGGTCCACCCGGGCTTGGTGGTGCTTCTGCTGTGAGTAAACTACTTTTCATATCGCTAAATGAACTTGTTGTGTTTTCGGTAAGGATTAGATATTGCCGTGTAAAACTACCTGTTAAGAAATCTACTTAAATTAAGGCTCTACAGGATCATTTCAAGTTTTTTTTTCTTTTCTTTTCAAATCAAACGTGAAACATGGCACTAGCTTTATTTGATTGATAATTGTAAGAGTTTTCCAGCCGAGTGGGACTAGTCACAAACAAAATGAACTTATGCTTTCTGCCTTCATGCTTTTTTTCCATAAAGGAAAAAATGTTTATGCTTCTTTTGAATGGAAGTAATACCTCTTGCTCTGTTGGATGTAGCTACCATCCAGGAAAAGCTGACAAATTGAGAGGAAACTTTGCCTCTTGGATTTGCGCTATATTTAACCATTCATTTTATTTGTGCTGAAAAAAAGCTAAGGCTGAGGGTTTTTCTTTAAATGGTTTCTTCGACACGATTTCTTAATTCTCATATTTCAGGGTTGTTATCTCTCTTTTGTTTGTTGCTGAAGGAAAAGTAGCTATTTTTGTCTTTCGTCTCTCTTCCCAGGGTGCTCAAGAAACCATCACCTGCGAGGGCGAGAAGGAATGGATTGAGTGTCCACAGTACAAAGTTATCAAAATCAGCTCTGCATTCTGGGGTCGAGATGATGATGCTACATGCACCACAAACGGCGTTCAACACGGACTCAGCACCTCGGCCATGTGCCCTCAGGACGAATCCAACACTATGACCAAAGTTGAAGGACAATGTAAAGACGAGCAAGCCTGTGAACTAGCAGCAACCTCCACCTTCTTTGACAAGACCGATTGTGGACAAGTATATAAATATCTACGTGTGAAATACGAATGTCTGCCTAGCGAATCAAGAGTCAAAGCAGCAATTCAAAGATCAAGAATAAGCGGTTAATTTGATTCTGCATTTGACTGACATTTACTCTATCACATGATAGACCACTGACAAACGATTCCACCGCCTTATATGGTTGTGCTGTTCAACGGATCTGGGACTTCTACTTAGTTAACGTGCGTTTATGAGCTTGTTAATCGCTAGATCAGGAATTCAAACTTAATGAGCCTATTGGGAGTACTGAGAAAACCGTTTTTCTCAACACGATGCGCTTGACTAACTGTTAAACTATAAAGGATTGGAGAACGTTCATAGCGATAAACAACCTTACGTTAGATGGTTTAAAGCGTTTCGTTTAAAGATGGAGGAAAGATAAAATAGAGCTTCCATGCTAACATGGTGTAAATCGATCGTCCAGCAGGGAAGTATACGATATTCTATTCCGTCATATTGCACATTCTTTTTCAATAATTTCAAATGTGTATATAGTTATATTTCTAAAACTCGTTTCACTATTTCGTGAAATAGAAATCCTTGTAAAAATTACCAGCCATTCCAATAGGCCATCGTAAGCACTGTATTGTACTGACCACAAAACGCGGTGAGACGATTACATGATGTGCTGTAGAATCTGATAACATAGGTGACCATACATGTCACTAGCTCGCGACGTTGTTACGTCTTTTATGTAGCCCCCTATGAATTACAACATTAAAGCTTTATGGTCTTCTAAGATTTACCAGTGTCTCTAGATATTTATAGCTTCTCTGCTGGCCCGCTCCTATCACGTGCTCATATTGAAGGAAACAATGAACCCTTTAACCCCCCAGAGTGACTGGCATGTAATTTCTCCCTATCATATCACCCCTTAATCAAACATTAAGGTCGGGAGAATAAAAGAACTGATCACTATCTGAAGAAGCTCTTGATTGTTAGACAAATTCTCCTTGTCGGCGCCCTAGGAAATGTTTAGAGACCAGTATAGAGAATATGCACGCTGATGTTCGGGCGTAAAGGGTTAACAACTGTTTACCGAAGGGGAGATGGATAATTGTTTTAGTATCCAACAAAAAAGTGAGATATTAAAGCACAGGAAGATGATTTTAACTTGTTTATTCCGGCAACAATTACAATATTTTTCGGGTGCAAATCCCGGAGGTGAATGGAAAAGAATATACGGAGTTTTAGTAGCCAATTAGAGCGCGCCTTCGACGCTATGCTTTGTTTTAGTAGATGTTAAGTGTCCGTTAAGTATACATAGATATTGCTTAAACTTTCTATAGGCAAGCAAGTTCCCAAGCTTGATTAAATCTTTCCAAGTTAAAGAGAAAATTTGACTCTAATCTATATCCATGGCAACTCACAACGCGCTTTTTCTACATGCACATAGAGTGCTCTTTGATCAACGTGCAAGCTGACAATTTATTGTTTATTCTTGAAAATTAAAGTTTTATCAGCTTTAAAATCTGACCTTCATATGCGAGGTTGTTTAAGCCATTTGACGTTACAAAACCCGCTCTTGAGAAAATTAAAAAGTGTTACTGCTCTTTTTTTTTGTTACATGCGAACTACGGAGTAACTCATGCATCTCGGAAATGCATCTTAAGCTGCGTTAAATAATGTGGGGACCTCTCTGGCATTAAGTGTGCTGTGTCAGGGTATTCGAAACGTTATATTTCTGAGTTTGTGGGGTGCATAAATCATAGGAAAGATAAAGGCAGCAATGTGGCCAATCCAATGTTAGCTATTATAAATTACCTGAGATACTACGAGCGCCCTGATTGGCCAAACACTTATCGCTTATTGCACGGGTAAACACATAGAAAATTAAAAAATATTTTGTAAAAGCAATAGACCGCACTTTTTATCGGCTTACCGGCGTAATAACGCTCTTGCGATGTTGGGAGAACACTCAACAAGTTTATTAATCACTTACCTCCGGTTCTAAACTTATAAACTTTTCAAGTGTTCTCCCAACATTCCAAATGTGTCATTACACCAGTAAACTGATATTTAGTGCGGTCTATTGCTAAAATATATCTAAGAAATCCAGACTACTTCAACGCCTTGGGCCCACACTGAAACGTCAGAGGACTCCCACCAGGATGAATACTGAACAAAAAAGTTTAAGCTTTTTCGGTGAAAACAAGTGATTCGCTACGTTACATAATATTTAGCACCACATTGCAGAGGTAATCGAAACAAGATTTGGCCAAATCAAATTTTTTCTGCAGTTCTTCCATCACACCATTGAATTACTGAAGAAAGTACGCGATCCCTTTATCCTGAAATATCTGCCTAGGCTGGGAAAACAAGTCTTCATTAAAAATCCATCTTCGGACGATGTAAATGAGGTGTAAATTTCGTTCTCTTCCAATTTTTAGGGGCACTGTAATTATTTACATCAACCTCCACAAGCCAACTTAAGTTGTTTGGGTCAAAGGTGATGGGAGAAAAACTTCTTAGGCTATTTTGCGCCCATTCCACTCATCATTCTACAGTCATATACAACCTTCAGAAATTTCGACACGCCAGGACACAATGGTTTCTCAAAGAACGCATCGGACACAGGGAAGCCACAAGTTGGCTGCCCTTCGCAAACATGACGCAGCTTCTTCACAGCATACAGAGGTTCCACTGGAGGACACATCTTCATTTGCTCCCTAGGCTTGTCAGGTATACAGGTTTTCAAATCGTTCCTTCCCCAGAACGCTGAGTTGATCTTTAGTCCTTCTTCCTGTCCAGCGCATGAGAGTGTCAACATGTGTCCCTCGCAACCGAGCGCCGTGGCGTTCGCCTGCCGAACCCATTCGGTAAGATTGCTTTCAAAAGGGAAACCGAAAGCTGTAAAAAGCCAGGATAAACACCAGAATATACAACGCCATTCCCAAGGAGCCTGCATTTCAGGAAAACAATTTTCGTACTAGATAAGACAGACAAAATGTACGTCTTTTATGTATATCCTTCTCATTTCGTGTTTCCTCAGCCGCTGGTCAACATGCTACACACAAGTATTACAATATTAATGACTTTTTGATTCGCCAATTGGCTTTCTGATTCCAGCACCAGTTCTAGTTGTTTTCCTTCTTTTTCATCAAATCGATTAGCTCAGTGTAACTCGAACACTTTGGTTGACCTGTTCTTAGTTTTCCTATCTATTTTGAGATTGCCCATTATACCGTTTCAAAGTTATTTTGGAATTAACCTGACTACTTGAAGCTCGAGAACAGGAAGGAAGCTATTAATTCGCATCAGAAGGAGACTAATACATAAGATTAAGTTCATTAAGTTACATTCACGCATGAAAGTTGCTGCGATTTAACCACCCGAAAGTGTTTAAATTGTGGATTCTCTAGTTCTTTAAAACTGCTCTTTATTGAATTGTTTTGTATGGTATCAGCAGCCCCTGAAGTACCGCCCTCCCTTGCCGCCCGTTTGTAAATTCGAGAAAATTATTGAAGTACCGTTGCCACTAAATTTTTTTTTGCTAAAGCTGTTATATTTCACATCATTAATAACTTAATGTTCTCTCGGCTGCATCTGTTCCTATTTGATTGACGTGCGAAAATATTTTATAAACTGAAAAGCAGAGTTAAATGCCATGTATCATTGGAAACAGATTGTGACTTTTGGTAACTGATCTCCACTTTAATGTAATTTTATCTTAAGACGTTGAGAAAACAAAGAGCACTGGTTCCTTTCCTCCTCAGTAGATCAGACACCAAGTGACAGAGTGACATGTGCTTCAAAACTAACTGATGACCTGATCGAAAACAAAGCAGGTGTTTCCAGTATTCACCCGAAAACAGAGATAAGCGATCAATTTTAGGATAATTATCGGGGATAAAAGGCTAGAATATTTTTTTGTGTTGAAAGAGATTTTTTCTCGTAAAACGTTCGCTTCTTGATGCTCGAGAAACAGGTTTAGTCTCATGCGAAAAGGTGAAGCTAGCGCATGCGTTGTTAACAGATTACATACCTAGGAGATGACTTAATTACGTAACCTGAAGGATGACTTTATGAAAACAGTATTTGCATGCACGGCCGGCTAGTCATAATTTTGTAAAATTGAAAATTTCTCCTCGTCCGAGGGTAACTTTGGATTTTTAAAAAATTATTTTGTTATATCACGCTTTCCGTTGTTTGTGTTTCGAAGAAGCTAACTTTGAAATATTTTTTTTTTGTGCGTTTTCGCTTGTAGTTTACTGCTAATTTGTCAGCTGGATCACCAGAGCAGCCTACCTGTAATCTTATTTAACAAGGTAAGTGAAAAACTACGTTTCGTTTCTTGTTATTAATGTTCTACTTTAGCGTGCGGTTCACCTACGACGATTTTTGCTATCAAAACTCGGCAACGCTTAACTTAGGTTCAGTAAAAGAGTCCAACTGGCGGCTTAAATTCAACGTGAGGTAATTGTTTGTGTTACCAAATGGTTCATTTCGTTTAATGTTAGAGACTCAAATAGCATCAGGAACGGAATGACCTCTCCAATTCTCCAATTAATCATAATTTACTGATTTTTTTAGACTGTTTGTCAGGGAGATATTGTCCCTTACGCTGAGTCATACTGGTAAATTTTGATAACACTTTGATTAATTTTGGGTTCTGCAAGAACGTTTTATACTGATATGAAAAAACTCGATATTGGACAATGTAAGTTACATGATATTTGCTGTTATCACTGATCTGTTTTTTCCTCTGTACTTACTGCAGTTCGCCAACAAAGCTGGAAAAAGCTGTGCATTAAAAAAACGGCAGAGGGTGCCGGAGATCCCTTTTCCAAACATTGAACAGGTAGGGCACGAAAATTGTCTCGCGGAGATGTGCAAAAATTTGGTTCTTTGATTCTTAGACTAGGCGCACGGATAAATGTGAAGATTTATTCGAAATATTTTGCACGAGCATGGTTTTATGAAAGCGTAGAAATATTTTTCACGAGAAGCCGATGAGATCAAGGTAGTTAAATCTCTCAAGTGTCAGTCCACGACCGCCGTAGAGGGAATCATCATTGCCAAGCTCAATGATTCTGATCATTATAGTCGAATAAAGACAAGTGTCCAACGATATTTAAACTACCGTGACATTTACTGGTCAATTCTGGATGGTTAAGAGGGGCTTGCTTGAGACCACAAATTAATTAATAGATTCATAAAATTAGCTCATTCACTTCTTTTTAACATAATTAATCATTTTGTGAACATGGCAATATTTCTTTTCTATCAAGGTAAAATATGACGCTGCTCAGAGCGACTTTAACCACCATTTTAGTCATAACTCTCACTGAGTGTACTAAGGTAAGTCAGTGCAATGCATCATACGCATCTATTATGAAAGTTTGTTTCATGCATTTCCTGATACTTTCTTTTATTTCTAAAATCTTTCTTCCGATTGTAACTAAGCGCACTTTGCGTAACGAATGTAATACTGGATCATTGTCAGACGACGAACTTAGTTTTTGTTCTTTACATAGTTACTCGTGCAAGTTTTCATGGTTTATTGAACCTCTAGAAAGTTATCAGATATTTGGGTAACCTGTATGCATTATTTCCTTCAGTAACGCTAAATTTATGCGAGAGTCTACCTGTACCGACGGAGATCCTTCCCACAAGTTGTGAACTGCATTAGCAAAATGGTTCTAAAGTGGCGTCTTGTAAATATTTCCAATTTGGTAGATGAATCATCGTTATGTAATGACTGGCGGACACTGGTTCCTATTATGACCGAACTTATTCTCAACGCTATCTCAGAAATAAAACAGATAGTTCGTTTGAGCAGTGTGAATTCATAAGTACATTTAAGACTTTGAGCTTCTGATTTGTTGTTTGAAGAGTTTTATTTCATCCTTTTTATCAGCTTAGTGATGTTCCTGACAATGTACAGCTTCAAAAGGATTCAGATATCAACCTGATGGAGGTTTTAGAGAGCCTTGCACCAGTTCCTAGCGAGGAGGTAGTAGCTATCAGACCCAAAGGAGAGGGAATAGAGAGATTTAGGCGAAGAGTGGAGCCTGCCAGCGGAATCTCATCGCTTTCAGAGCTTCCAGATCTCCCAGCACCCCAAGAAAATAATTCCATCTTCAGTCATCGATCATTTTCTGACAGCGGAGCTACTCCTTCTTCTGGAGAAGGCGAGTGGGACAGCGGACACGCTGCGTCATCAAAAACAAAGAAAAGCGAAATAGCCGGAGAGGATGCTTCTGGTTCTGGAGAGGGGTCTGGGATATTACAGCACGAGCCTACTGAACAAGAAAAACCAGTTGTGGTGACACCAGCTACACTCACGTCGGACGACGAAGGTAGCTCGGTGGCTCCATCTAGTTTGGCTGGCGCTGCAACAGCACAGCCCCCTCCGGTCGCCACATCACACAATGGCGAGAATAAGCCTTCCAACGCCGTTGCTGGTGCCGTATCCTTTAATGCAGTAGAGCCTGAAGAAACTGGATCAGCTCAGCTGCGGTCAGTCTCGAACATGAGTGCTCTAACCCAAACCAAAACTATAATCAAAGAGTCGCCTGCTGCTCAACTTCCTAAAGAGGAAGTTCAGCAAACGGCTACCACTAACAAAGATGCACCTGAATCCAGCGGAGTGGAAGAAGCAGCTCATTTTGTTTCATCTGCCGTTACCAAACAGGCTCATACAGCATCTGGATCAGGGGAGTCAAGTGGAAGTGGGTTAAGTGCTGATGAGCTTGCTTTCATTGCTGGTCTTAAGAAAGCAAAGGGGCAACAGAGTACTCCGCTTCAGACACCACAGAGAGCTAAGCTACCAGGTAGTGTGGGAAGCGATGAAGATGACGATGACAATGATAATGTCGATGAGAGTGGAGATGCAAGTGCAGAGCAATCAGATTCAAGTGCTAGCGGAGCACAGGAAGATGAAACGACATCTTCTCAATCTGATGAGGATCAAAACGAAGAAGCTCAACAGAGATCAAAAACGAGCCAAAGACTCGGAGAGAACGCCTCAGAAGATGACGATGACGATGACGATGACGATGACGATGACGTCTCAGCCGATGGTTCTGGATCAGCCTCTGGCGACGATGAAGATTATGACGATGAAGACGACTCTGGGGAGTCAAGTGCTGACAAATCAGAGAGAAGAGATACCATTGTTGATGTTGCTAGTGGATCTGGAGTTGATTTTCTTTCAGGAGTGGGTGACTCTGATAGCGAAGATGATTCTTCAGAGAGCTCCGGAGAAGATGACGAGCCTGAAGATGACTTGCCAGGCAGTATAGGTGAAGTGAACGACATTTCAAAATTAGAGCAGAAGCCTGTCCAGGCCGAGACTGCGCCTGGGTTTGCATTTGCGTCTGCATCAGGTGTGCCTCCCGGTAGTCACGAGCTTGCCCCCGCCTCTGGCTCCGGTTTACCCGATGTACGTCAACAGTCTGTCAAAAAGCCTATGTTAGACCAAACATCACCTAAGGCTTCTATTCCATCATCAGGATCAGGGGAAGAAGAGCTACCAGGAAGTGTTGGTGGTATTTCTGACATTGGTCAAGTTGAATCAGCAACACATACAGAAACAAACTCTGCTGCCTCAGGCTCAGGTGACTTTAAGACAACATCTCAATATAAACAAGACGAATCACTTCTGCAACAAGTTTTGCAAAGCGAATCTTCAGGTTCTGGTGAGTCAGAAAAGCAAGATGAGAGTCTTCCAGGAAGTGTGGGTGGACAAATTAACTTGGAAGAAACAATAAGTGCTTCGGGATCTAAAGCCGAACCTCTCGCAATCGTCAGTCCTGACTTTGGAACAGGTTCAGGCGAAAGTCCAAAGCTTCGCTCTTGGGAACCTGTTGTCTCCCTTCCCCAAGAGTCTCTCAATTCTGGATCAGGAAGCGATGAGAAGTTTAGTGGCTCTGGAATTGCCGACAACCTGGAATCTTTGGCGTCATCTTCAGAGGACGAGACTCTTCCAGGAAGTGTTGGAGCTGTCGGTCCCAATCTTATGACTATGGCATCTCCAGAAAATAAGCCGGGTTCTGGGATGGCAGACCAGTCTGGTTCTGGATCTGGAGTTGGAGGATCAGGGTTGCAAGAGGAAGTTAACTTGATGAGGGCATTTAAGTTTGGCGATAGTTCTGGATCAGGACTGGAGCAATTGGATAACAACGAGACCCACGTTGAGAATGAGATAGATTCAGTCAACATAACTAAACCATTACCGGCTTTCGGAGATGGAAGTAACGTAACGCAGTCGGAAAATTCGACTATCATTGCACAGACTAAGGAAAACAGCGCCGTGAAGAATAATGAAAGCAGTGGAGAATTTGGACTTTTACAATCCCTTCAACCCTTTGGGGGATCTGGAACTGCAGAAGAGCCATTACCGGGTGGATTTGGCAATGGTGACAGTACTGACATTCAGTCTCTGGCTGGTTCTGGAGGAGAAGATGCTTCTGGCGTTACCTTAAGCTCCGGCTCCTTTGGCTCCTTTATGGATGAAGGCATCTCTGGATCAGGATCAGGAGTAGCAAACTCGGACGTGATATCCGAAGTATCAGGAGGTAGTAGTAGTGGAAGTGGTAAATTTTCGTCTGACTCAGAGGAGTTGCAATCCCTTTCGAAAAAAGATTATGCCCCTACAGCCTCAGCCTTAGCATCGGCATCTGCTAGTGCTACGCAAGACAGTGGATCAAGCTCTGGCTCAGGCAACTCTCCGTTACCAGTCGCCAAGCACAACTACTCACCAACGATAAAGAGAGTTGGGACAGGTATCTCGTTCACCCCTATGGCCGCATCGGCGTCAGGCTCTTCTTCATCTGGCCAATCAGATTCTAGCGCAAGCGCACTTCCGGGTAGCGTTGGTGTCGAGGAGTCCTTTTCCTCTTCTGGATCTGCAGTCTTTGATACCTCCGGGTCAGGATTTATCCCGATCGGTGACATTCCTCAAGAAGATCTGCTAAACACCGAGGTTGAGACATCTGCTTCCGGTTCTGATGAAATCAACGTCGTTGAGTCCGGTGCAGGCGAAGGGTCTGGTGCGCACTCAAATAAGGATGAAGAGGTGGAAGAAACAGCCTTACGCTCGCACACTGATAACCTTAAACCCATATCTTTCAACCTAGACTCAGCTGGACTTCAAGCGGATGTTCAAGCAGCTCTAGGCAAGACGCCTATTAATTTAGGTGTCGGATCAGGCAGTACATATGGCTTAGGTTCTGGTGGAGGGATCGATTACGGATCCACCTCAGACTTCTTATCAGGCTCAGGTGGCAGCGGTACGTTAGAGCTAACCCCAGCAACCACCCCATCAGATGCGATTGTAAACCTGTTTGGTAATACGTTTGGCTCTGCTGGGAAAGAAAACTCAAGGAGTTCTAATAATAGTGTGGCTTCGAGCGACGAAGGATCATCATTTAAACATCAAAAGCAAGGAAAGAACAGGCATCAAATACCTGTAAGTGGAAATGATGAGACTGCCTTCTCCGACGATGAAGAACAGGTTAGATTTTGTTTCAGTAGAGATATATCATACTAATCCAGTTCGATGCCTGTAGTATATTCTGATGGGGCGCGTTAATGATAAGCGTAGTCACTGAGATGTTTCTCATTCAAATAAATATCACTCCATCTAGAGGGATATATTATCCAACTTAAAGTCCGAAAGGTGTACATGTACGTAAACCAATATGCAGCTACTTTCTCTTAGAAACCCACAAAATGATAGCATGGTTGCTGTCATGGTGGTATAACGTAAAGCTCTTGGAGTGGTTTTGAGTACATTTCGCAACAGTGAACCGTCGAAGTTTGGCTTTGGAATAACACCTGTAATTTGACCTTGGTTTATAGTGCTTTTATTCCTCAAAGTTCAGTGAAGTCAAGATTCATTCACTTAATGTAAAATTTCAGCTTGCCGAATGCTCACTATTTTAGAGCCAACGGCTCCAACTTTATTCCGCTTTGATTTAAGTTCACATTCAAGGATTGGTTAAGCTCTTTATCAACCAATGCAACGAGTGCTTCTTCGATTGCGTTGTTTGCTCTCTGTCTCATCAATTTTTGCTCAAGTCCTCGAAAACATTTAGCTATTTCAGAAAAGCAGATATAAGGAGATACTTAACTAAGTTTGCCTCTATTTTTTTTCAGGTGGAATTTGATCTTCCCAAGCCTGGAGACACAGTTGACCAACAACTTCTGGACCGATTTATGATCAGTCAAATCTTAGAGCAAAATCTCACATTGTTTTACGGAGGCCTTTCTGGTCGCCCTGGCAAACAAGGTCCTGTTGGCCCCCCTGGAGCAACCGGAATGAGGGGTATGACTGGAACTATGGGCCCACCAGGTCCAATTGGTGACGTAGGATCCCCTGGTGCTGATGGTGAGTCCGGTCCGATAGGTCCTCCGGGACTCCCTGGGATGCCTGGCTTCAAGGGAGAGAAAGGACCACCAGGTCTAATGGGATTAGCTGGGGAGCCAGGTGCACCTGGAATTCCGGGACCTTTAGGAAACGTTGGCCCTGCTGGTCCAGAAGCTGTAATGCCGGTAAATAATAGATCTGAGCTTATCTCACAATCCTTAGAGAGTAATTTACTAGCTTTGAAACATCAAAAAAACACTAAGTAGGAACAACCCTTGATAAAAATGGAAATTTGTAGGCTTTGACCCGTCAGAGCCCCTAACATAAAGGTTCTAAGGCAGAAAATTCTAAAATCATTACACCCCCACTTGCTCAATGCTGATTGAGACAAGTGCCAGAACATAATTTAAAAAATCCTACAGTTTTTTAGAACTATTAAACCATTTCCTTTTTCCCCATACCCGTGCGTTTAAGATATTTTACTCTTACGAGAAACGGCTCAGCTATTTGTCATTGTTAAGAACAGTTTAACGGGTAAACTGTTTTTTTGTTTGTTTTTTAATACACGAAACTGGCGTAGGCGGCATCATGAATAAAAACGTCAGACCTCTCAGTTTCTACTAATTATATAACACTCTAAAGAACACAAACTCATACATCCATGCCCAATTTTAAATCATTTTATCTTATGATTGAATTCGAAACAATAAAACACTAATCTTATTTTTCTTTCATAAGAGTTGTGCGGACGTTTAAGTCCTCACCTTTACAAAACATCCATTGAAAGAAAAGTTCTTAGCTTCAGATGTTATCGTTATCGTATCATACACGTACGTCGTTTATGTTTACGTCATTTTATTTATGCGTTCTCAGAACTGTTCTTACATTTGCGAGGGAGAGAAGACTTGGCTTCAGTGTAAGCAGTATGAGACCATCAAAATAAACCGTGCGTTCTGGGGACGAGAAGAAAACGAGTTCTGTCCTAAAGCCCCAGTTGGTCTTGTCACAGACAAGATTTGCGAGACAGATGCAGATAACACATTTAAGAAAGTCGAGAGCCAGTGTAGGAACAATCAAGCGTGTGAGATTGTAGCTTCAAACACGTTCTTCGATGATCCAACGTGTAAGAATACGTTCAAATATTTAAAGCTCTGTTACGAGTGTATTCCGGATGAGGTACACACCACAGATGTGTTGCTTGACTTGGGAAAAAGACGAAAGAGAGGAACTCGTCTGGAGGACGTTCTAAGAAAGCGGAGAGAAAAGTCTGAAAGGGAGAAACTGTTAAAAGACCTTTGGAAGCATCCATATCATGCCAGAGTCGTGTGATTGGCTTTCTTCCAATCTGTGCATGTATATCTAGATCTTAGGTATTTTGTAAATAGCTTATTGTCGTCTTTCTTCGAAAGATAAGGTAAAAGTGGGCCACTGAGATAAAGGGGCTGGCTGAACCGAACCTCCTCTGGAATACTGTTATGGATCTGTTAATTTTGGGGACTCGTTTAAAACAAGAAGATGATTAATCATTCATATGGTCTTAAAAAATCATCCGTGATAAGACCTCGAATCAGTATGAATCTCTTCAAAGAAATTAGCTGAATTTTGCTTGTGTACAACAGAATCAAGTTTTATGTAGGCAAGAATAGTGACGAAGAGTTGAAAAACTACGTGAGTTGGTCAATATGGCGACTTTAGAATGATACTTATGCTCTTGAGTTGCAAAAAAGACGACGTTTCTGTGCAAGAAAAGAGAGAGGTTTGTATTTCGGATTCCTTTGGCGCTCTTTGAACCCAATCAATAGTTTCTTTTTCAGGAAAGAGCTGACTAGATATATTTTCATGCCTGCGTACAGTTGTAACATCAAATGCCTCGAGTTCTGATTAAAAAAATTTCTTTGGCAGAAAATAAATGCAACATCTCGCTGGAAAAGCAATAAAAGATTAGGCTTGAATGATAATGAGTCTCGAAACCTTTCGATCCAATCAAAAGTTATTCACTGTACATGTGTTTACACCGTTTTCCTCTATGGGAAAATACACGAAATGAATTCTGTCTGTAAAATAGGTTTGATTATTTTATATTGAACATAAAGCTAAAGATTGTATAATAATGAAGATATGGCACCCTTTCGGTAATCGTGAAACAGGAGTTATGCCCACAGCTGATGAATTTTACCCAAAGTCACACTGACTGATATGTTAAATCAAATATATCTCGTCGTTTCATTAGAGGGGAATTCTACGCCAATAGGGAGTTTCTGAGATATTTCCTTGAATAAAATGTTTTCAAGAAAGAATACTTGGTGTGAAATGTCTTTTTGGAGTTATCCTTTTTGCTAGTGAGCCCCACTGAAACTGGGGATCTAAAACTAACCACATCGATGCATTGCAATGCAATGCAATGCAAAGCAACCAGACTCGTTCCAGCGGTTTGAGTGAAATGACTGTTAACTGTTTGCCAGGTCACCGCTGACAGTCTCTAACTGTTTGCCAAGTCACTAAACGCGTTGGAGAACCGTGAGATAGCTTGAATATTGGTCAACAAAAGAGATAAAACCAAGTGGGTTAATTAAACCGATTCTTACGGTTCGTGAGCGCGTGGTTCATTAAGAAAAAAAAATAGAAACCTAACATCACTCAATGGAACCAATAATTCAGAAAGTATGAATGCTACAATTCTTTCTCGTTGACATAAAAGAGGAGAGGAAAGCGTAATGGCCTAAAATAGAAAAAAAGAATCGCAAGGGGCCTAAAATTTGGTGTTTTATTAAAACTAAGGAGTCGATTTCCATGTAAATAAGCAACAATCTGTGTCACGTTATGACAAGATATTTTCTTGTTATTGGTAACTGGTTAATCTCAAAGCTTCTTTGGATCGCCGCGGGTTTGTATCCATGGCGCCTTTCCATAACAAGCGACTAAAACTTACACAAATTGTCACAGCCTATATGTAGCTATCTTGCTCATTATGTTCCAAGCTGAGACTGACTGAAAACTCTTAAATACTACACACATGCCTCTTGGATAATGGAGTTCAGTGAAGGCTTGTATTCTTGACTTAATGAAACATTTTGTTTGCGCGATCAAAAATCTATTTTTATACCATTGAACTAAGTTGATACTCTTGATTACAAAACCTTCTGGAAATATTCATGAATGAAATCATCAGTTCAGTACTCTTGATAAGTTCAGTCTCTGAACAGATAAACTAATTTCATTCTTATACTTTTTTGTTTTCTTTCCGTAAGAAATATGTTCAACTCCGGAAGGGTTGATTACCATGAGCGTTTCCTTCAGTGAAAACCGTTTTGGTACCATCCTAGATACTCCTAACCACTAATTTTTTTTTTAAACAATTAGCTTGCGGTGGTATTTCATGCAAAATCAATTTTTACCAAGTCTATGAAAAGTCAGCCCTACTGCACGTTGTGATGATTTGCATTCTGTGCACTTTTGTCCAAAAAAGCGTTTCTCACAAAGGATAAAGGTCCCTTTGAAAAGTTCACCTTGCAATGAATTTCGCTGAAGGTGATGCGATTCGATCTTGCATGACTGCGAATTTGTTGAACAAAGCTAGAATTGTATTTTTTGCGTTCTCCATCTCTAGTAAAAAGCTATTTCACACGTTTAATCAGTTTTAGACTTTATCTCAAAACTGTTCTTATAAACAGCACGAAATATGGAAGCCCTTCTACAAAGTTAACCCTTTAAACCCTAAGAGCGACTAGTATTAAATTTCTCCCAACAGTACCACCCCTAAATCACATGTTAAGGTTATGAGAATAAAAGAATGACCCCAAGAGTGACTAGTATCAAATTTCTCCCTACAGTACCACCCCTGAATCACATGTTAAGGTTATGAGAATAAAAGAATGACCCCAAGAGTGACTAGTATCAAATTTCTCCCTACAGTACCACCCCTGAATCACATGTTAAGGTTATGAGAATAAAAGAGTGACCCCAAGAGTGACTAGTATCAAATTTCTCCCTACAGTACCACCCCTAAATCACATGTTAAGGTTATGAGAATAAAAGAGTGACCCCAAGAGTGACTAGTATCAAATTTCTCCCTACAGTACCACCCCTGAATCACATGTTAAGGTTATGAGAATAAAAGAGTGACCCCAAGAGTGACTAGTATCAAATTTCTCCCTACAGTACCACCCCTGAATCACATGTTAAGGTTATGAGAATAAAAGAATGACCCCAAGAGTGACTAGTATCAAATTTCTCCCTACAGTACCACCCCTAAGTCACATGTTAAGGTTATGAGAATAAAAGAGTGACCCCAAGAGTGACTAGTATCAAATTTCTCCCTACAGTACCACCCCTGAATCACATGTTAAGGTTATGAGAATAAAAGAGTGACCCCAAGAGTGACTAGTATCAAATTTCTCCCTACAGTACCACCCCTAAGTCACATGTTAAGGTTATGAGAATAAAAGGGTGACCCCAAGAGTGACTAGTATCAAATTTCTCCCTACAGTACCACCCCTGAATCACATGTTAAGGTTATGAGAATAAAAGAATGACCCCAAGAGTGACTAGTATCAAATTTCTCCCTACAGTACCACCCCTAAATCACATGTTAAGGTTATGAGAATAAAAGAGTGACCCCAAGAGTGACTAATATCAAATTTCTCCCTACAGTACCACCCCTGAATCACATGTTAAGGTTATGAGAATAAAAGAGTGACCCCAAGAGTGACTAGTATCAAATTTCTCCCTACAGTACCACCCCTGAATCACATGTTAAGGTTATGAGAATAAAAGGGTGACCCCAAGAGTGACTAGTATCAAATTTCTCCCTACAGTACCACCCCTGAATCACATGTTAAGGTTATGAGAATAAAAGAGTGACCCCAAGAGTGACTAGTATCAAATTTCTCCCTACAGTACCACCCCTGAATCACATGTTAAGGTTATGAGAATAAAAGAGTGACCCCAAGAGTGACTAGTATCAAATTTCTCCCAACAGTACCACCCCTGAATCACATGTTAAGGTTATGAGAATAAAAGAGTGACCCCAAGAGTGACTAGTATCAAATTTCTCCCTACAGTACCACCCCTGAATCACATGTTAAGGTTATGAGAATAAAAGAGTGACCCCAAGAGTGACTAGTATCAAATTTCTCCCAACAGTACCACCCCTAAATCACATGTTAAGGTTATGAGAATAAAAGAGTGACCCCAAGAGTGACTAGTATCAAATTTCTCCCTACAGTACCACCCCTGAATCACATGTTAAGGTTATAAGAATAAAAGAATGACCCCAAGAGTGACTAGTATCAGATTTCTCCCAACAGTACCACCCCTGAATCACATGTTAAGGTTATAAGAATAAAAGAATGACCCCAAGAGTGACTAGTATCAAATTTCTCCCTACAGTACCACCCCTGAATCACATGTTAAGGTTATAAGAATAAAAGAATGACCCCAAGAGTGACTAGTATCAGATTTCTCCCAACAGTACCACCCCTGAATCACATGTTAAGGTTATAAGAATAAAAGAATGACCCCAAGAGAGACTAGTATCAAATTTCTCCCTACAGTACCACCCCTGAATCACATGTTAAGGTTATGAGAATAAAAGAGTGACCCCAAGAGTGACTAGTATCAAATTTCTCCCTACAGTACCACCCCTGAATCACATGTTAAGGTTATAAGAATAAAAGAATGACCCCAAGAGTGACTAGTATCAAATTTCTCCCTACAGTACCACCCCTAAATCACATGTTAAGGTTATGAGAATAAAAGAGTGACCCCAAGAGTGACTAGTATCAAATTTCTCCCTACAGTACCACCCCTGAATCACATGTTAAGGTTATGAGAATAGAGGAAACGATCACTAAAGAAAGAAGATTAAGATTGGTAAACAAATTCTCCTCGTCAGCACCTAAGAAACGTATAGAGAGCAGTATGGAGAATATGCATACTGGTTTTAGGGTGTAAAGGGTGTAATGATTGAAAAAGGTAAGAAATCGAATAGAATCTTTGCGATGCCCACGCGAGCCTTTGCCGTTTTTAACTCGTGAATTGCGCGCATGCGCAAGAGCGAGTTATAGATACGATGTGGGGAATGGCATTCGCTCGCTCGCTCGATTGGTCGATTCCTGTAAACTTTTTTTAGATTTTAGGCTTTTGAGTGCATTTGATAGTTTTTGGCGAGCAATAAACAGACGAAATGGCGACCTTTGTTGCTAAGAATAGTGGTGGGGTGAAAAAGAAGCCAATGATAATCTTAAAAGAGTTTTTTTTTTTTCGTTTTAGTCTCAACAAGCGGCGCCAGCGACTGGCAGGCATGCAAGGATTCACACTGAAATAACAGAACAACCTTCGTTTTTCATAAAATTGTAATTTACAATCCTTGAACTTGAAAACAATCCGAAGATTTATTGAAAATATCACTTACTGTGAAGCGCTCGGAGTTTACAGATGTTCAAAAGCTTTTTCTGTTATGGCGTGAGATTAAGGACAAAATTGATCATTACGTTTCGTCGCGTGTGTTTTTCCTGTGTGAAGCAACAGAAGATGCCGGCGACTGACGAAATTACAAAAAATCAAATAACACCTACACAAACAATTTTAGCTACCGATTTTCAGTGAATTTTTAAAGAACAATTTTCTTTTAAGTTTCAAGACAATTTGAAGATTCAACATACATACAACGTACTTAAATGCGAAAGTTACACACCACAAAATTGATAAATAGGCCTGAAATGAAATTCTATCTTGTTATTGATTATACGTTGCCTAGCACGTGACTTAAATCTACCCAGGCGGAGATCCAAAATGACGGTGGCAGGCTTGGCTTAGTTATATCACTCAAAACTCGTTCCCGTTTGTCTCATTTGATAAAGAGGGAATCGTTAATGTTTTCATTAAGACAGTATTGCCTTGATTTTCTAATATTTACAACGAAAGACAGTAAATTTCACTTTTCACCCACATTGACTTCCAACCTTTTCTTTTGAACCAGAAACAAAAATGATAGACGTTTAAAGCACATGACATCATCCACCTTGTCAAATGTAATAGTATGATCATTTCAATTGTAATGCCTTCTTATCCCAACGTTACTTTGTTTCTTTGCTACATTAGCGAATACTGAACTACTGCTCGTACTCTAGATATGACAATCAACCACAAAATTCCCTAAACCAGATAACATTAAACATAATCTAAAAAATCATGTGTCAATTCACGAGTTTGCTCACAGAGCACTTTGATTAATTTTGAGAGCAACTCAGTCAAAGCCATTGTGGCACCGTCATATGATACTCTAAAATACTATAATTTTTTCATGTGTAGCTTTAGCCGGTACTTCGCGAAAGTCTGTTCATCTGACTTTTGAATAACGGTTGTTCTGTAACCTCATCTTTTGAATTTTGTTATTACACATATGGTTTAGTTTTAGTGCTCCAGATATATTTTGTTATTACACATATGGTTTAGTTTTAGTGCTCCACATATGGTTTACTTTAGTGCTCCAGTTATTGCTTATAAAGTTAATAATCGTGTAAGGGTAGGTCACGCAATATTGGAAGTAGATAACAAAAGGTTGGAGTTCTCACCTCTTAATTGACGAATTAAGACATACCATGAGGTATCTCTGGGGAGCCTTTGATTTTTGTCTTAGTCTTTTTACATTTGTCAAATTTTACTTGACCGCGCCAATGTCCTTCAGATATGGAGATAAACAAAGTCAAGTATGAAATAACAAATTAAAAATAAGATCCCAGTTTTCTATTGAAAAGGAAATCTTTGACGTTCTTATGAATATGATGAAGTTTGATTAAACACTGTCCAGTCGCGCGGTGCTGCAGAAGAACGTTTGGGACAAAATTACAGTCGTCATAATCATCAATCGGCATAAAGAACCCTCTATGACCCACTGCTATCACACCAATGGCATGAGCAAGCATTCCTACATAAACATCGTCCATCCTATACGGCTTAATTACATCAAACAGGGGAACAATGCACTCGATAACGTCATACGTCATAACAAAGCCAGCCCCACTACAGAAATCTGGATAGTGAGTGTGGTTGTACTCTTCGTAGCTGACTTTCCATTTACCGTCTCGAAGTACACGAGGATTATGATGAATTTGTCCCAAGAAAAGTCTCTTTTCTGGAGTTGATTCCTTTTGCAAAAAGAGAATTAAATCAGCGGTATTAACCAGGATATCGTCGTCTGCTTTCAAAATGTAAGAAAAATTACAATATCGCGATGCCCACTCAAAGGCCATCATAATCTTAAAACTCTGTCTCCAGTAATTCTCGTAATAGTCCGCGCGAATCAAGTCTCCATAAACTTCGTCTTCCTTATCGACAAAACGTGAATGTGTTTGATCCTCTGTTTTCGCAATAAGAAAGTATGTCTTCCACTTTGGAGACACGTTATTGTCAGTGCCCCAGGTTTGACGAATTAGATTTCTTCTACCTTGGTTTGCAGGTGCAGATGACACTAAGATGAGAAGAAAATAGTTCCTTGAACATGATTTCGTTGTTATCAAAGTCGTTTTATGCCGTGGAGATTGTTTCCAAATTTTACAATCGTGGCTTGGTCCAGACTGACGGGGAATTGGAGCATCGGAAGGGAATCTTATTAGAGTACCACAAACGATGGTTGTTACCAAGGCAGCCAATGCCACAATAATGGTTCTAAACTTTCCTCTATGAATTTTCGATATGAAACAGACAAAACAGTTTCTCAGTTTACGAAACATATCTGGAGTCTTTCACTGGTTACACGAAGCCACACCTCTAAAAAATCCGGGACCCCCTTACCTAAAAATAATTGGAATGTCATCAATGTGAGTTACTAGGCTGCAAAAGCAAAAACAAGGACAGCAGCAAAAAAAAACAAGAAAACCTTTACCTAAATGAAATTTCACTCCACCACGCTAATATCCTTTATATAGGGTATAGGGTTGAATGTTTGTAAAGATGAACCCGATAACAGATCAATTTTGGACACAAAAAATACAGGAACACCCTTAATCCCCCCCCCCTTACTTAAAACGAGTTTGAACTGACCAAGTGATGTCTTTAAGTGACTGTACAAGACGACAGCGAAATAAGTGATTATGTAAAGGTTTCAAATGAGGCCCTGAGCTCTTGTATAAAGAATAATTTTCCAAGCTTTCACCGATCCACGAAATCATCACGGGTAGTAGTTGTTTTAAAATACAGCTTTATATATCTGAGTGAATTCACAAAAACATACGCAAAAACACAACAAACTTAAAGTCAATATCCGTACAAAAACCTCTCAAACTTGAATACTTCCCCAACCGAAATGATCTAGTTCACTAGAAGGCCCTTCTAGTCCCGGGGATGCCACAAAGCATGGGTCTAACTCTAAATCAATGGACAGAGGCCAAAAAAATCCAGCCTCATAATAACTCGACCAAGATGTCCACTTCTTTGCAAAAAGCAAATCCCCCAAGAGTAATAAGTCAAAAACCTACCCTTCCCACCACCCGAGCTTTTCACACAGAGCCATTTGCAACCCACCCCTGGAGAGGTTGGTGACTGGGCTGCATGCAGGCCCTACCCTTACCAAGTTGCATTCTTCTTCAAAGGATATGTTTGATGTGTTCGAGTAAACCGCAAATGAGAGAACGTTTGACGACGTAGCTTTCAAATCGATAACATTGTCGAAATGCAGAGGGGAAATCAAGAACAAAGATGAAACTAAACTCGATGAGATTCATCAAGCGATGGTCAGTGTCGAAGATGAACCAGGAGGAGTCACGAGAGACGTTAGGAGTGTCTCACGATAGTCCACCATTTTGAAAACCGCGAGGGGCTTGGGGAGGGTTTACGGACTCCAATTAACACGACAGCATGACAGTGCCTACGGCCTTCCTTGAAGGAAGGCACAGTGGGAAAAAAATGAAACAATGCTCGCTCACTTTTGCCAATGTGATGGCCCCATACACTGAAGCCTCACACGCTTTGTTCTCCCATTATCTGCTGAATGATTTTGTCCAGTTTGTTTGGAGGTTCGCGGCAACATGGAAGTTCGCACGCCTAACAAAAGAAAGACTGTGATATCTATACTTTATAAGCTTTACAATGATATATTGTTTTTTTTTTTTCTATGGTTTCTTCAAAAGTAGTGCGCGTAGGACGATTTTTCCGGAAGGCACCCTATTCGAGTGAATTCATATACAACCCCTTTGTTATATACTAACTATTGCGTTAAATATCAAATACCTATCTGGCAGGTATGTCCACCAATAGTATCGGCCTCAGAGGATTTTTTAGCATGGTGCAGCATTGATGATGCATATGTGCTCATAATTAGCCTTTTTTCATGTAATTTAGTAGAGAACTTTGAGTGAGCAAAATATGGTAAAATGGCAATGTTCGTTTAGTTACAAAAAGATCCCCCAGGTTTTTTTTAAAGGTAATATTAAGGACGTGTTGTTGCGTTCAAGTGGGTTTTTGTGCCTGCCGTGTCCTCTTTATAGGAAGGCCGTAGGCACTCGTAGCCACTACAATCGGACTGCTGCGCTCATATGAAATAATTTTTATAATTTTCAGATCTGCGTGACCCGGAAACTAATGCATTTTTGAAATATTACGAAACAATAAATAAATAAATAAATAAATAAATATTTTTAAATTCATCATTTTACGGTCATTCGGGGAATTCCGGGTATTCCGAGTATTCAGGTTCCGGTTCCGAATTCTGGCATTCCAACCTGCCAAAATACATGTAGTTGGGACAGCGGGGCGCGAGAATAGAGATGGCATGTCGAGAATTAGATTTACATTACATTAATTCCGAAATGAATAAGTCGATGCTGTCTCTTAAAATTTTAAATTCTGTTCTGCCGCCTTTACAACATGGCCGCCCCGAGAAAGCTAGGGGAGTTACTATATCACGGGCGACGAGTGGGGGATGAAGAAAAGACCGAAGTACGAGTGGTCAGCGGGGAAACAAATTTAATACTTCATATAGAGACATATCAGTTATAGTTGCGGAAAACAATAGTGTTGTAAAGCCGAAATATCAACAGTATACTTCGCTAAATAAAATGTTAAGCAATTTTTCAAAAGTGTTGATGGCACATATATCTTTTACTGCTGTATTAAACAATAGAGGCATCGGAAAAGGAATCGGTGGCATCCGGAAGGCACCTTAAACTTAGGCTACTATTGAGGTAGAACTGGGAACCAGATTTGTTCATAATCAGCAGGTACACACGATTTCCTCGGTTGGATACGAGGCGGGTGTGATGGAGTCTGCTGCTACTTATAACCATGCATAGGGGAAGAAAAAAATATTAAACAAGCCAGACAAAAAGCAGTCTAGAAAAGCTGTTTAAATTCTCAAGCGCTCGTTGTTCGCATTAAAGGAAAAAGGCCTTCTCCGTCAGAACGCCATTAAAGCGAATACTGAAATTTGCATACACTGTCGTTAATAGTTAATGCAACAAAGCGAATGTACTCATTGACTTTCAAAGTCGGTATGAGACTACTGTGGCGATTCCTAGTGGAGTGGAACCTTTCGAAGCTCATCCAAGCCCATCTTGTTTTTAAAAACTTTATTTGTCCCTAATTTAAGAATCACGGCGCCTTGGTTTGAACGGGTCTTACCCAAACCGCGGTTTTATGCAAACACTGGACCTCAGCGAGAAATCCAGTACTTGACCTTGACTGTTCACAAAAAATTAAGGTTCATAAAAAAGGCTCGCTCAAAGTGTTCTCCCAGCACCAACAACCATGCCTCAATAAGGCTGTGACTAAATGCCCGGACGACGAGCACGGTCTCAAATAGACTAAATGCCCGGCAGTCAAGAATTTTTATGCAACTTAGCAGGGCGTGAAATTGCGCCTAATACAGGCGCCGAATACCGGTCACTTCGCAAACGTGTCACTTCGCAAACTGTCACTTCGCAAACGTCCTTTGTCACTTCGCAAACGCATCCAAGTCGATTCGCAAACGTCTTCGAATTATTTTTAAAAAGGTTGATATAACTTCATATTATGTTTCTTTACAATCTTTTATCGAAGAAAGTTATAAAATTAAGAAGAAGTAATGTAGTAAGTTTTATCAGCGTGAAAGCTTACTTTTGCCATTTTGGAAGCTCGGCAGGCATCCAACTTCTTGGAATCTTTTCAATAAATCTTATCTAACTCAGTGTCTCGAAGTGTCTCAATGTCTAGCTTGCTTTTTCATTATTTTCTATCCTTCTTATTGATGTCTTATCGTTACTGTGATCTTACATCAGACGATGACTTTCCTTACTCATGTGAATATAGTCATCGGGAGATCGGTACGTTTCGTTCGATGAAACGATTTGTTATCGATCGATCGCATACCGTTCACTTCGCGAACGTAGTCGCGATCCCAGTCGATTCGCAGACGTGTTCAAATTATTTATAAAAAGGTTGATTTAACTTCGAACGATGTTTTTTTATCATCTTTTATCGGAGAAAATAGCAATGAATTAGCATTAATCCGTTTACTTTCCCGTTTGGAAACTCATGCCGGCATTCAAGTCGCATGTAATTAATACTTCTTGGAATATTTGCGATAAATCTTAGCTAAACGGTTTTAGCTAAACTCGGTTTGCTTTCTGTACATGTACACCAAACAATGCATTTAGCTCGAAACTCTCGAAACTATGTGTAGCGGACGGAGGGATCTAGAGACATTCCACCAAACAATGCATTTAGCTCGAAACTCTCGAAACTATGTGTAGCGGACGGAGGGATCTAGAGACATTCCATCGTTGCTCCGAACGCGATATTTAGATAAGACTTTATACGGAAACCAAGTAAGCCACTCGTATCGATCAAAGCTCTTTAATTTCTTGATTTACTTGATTACGTAAAAACTGAAAGGATAATTACAACGAAAAGCCTATTACTATAATTCGTACAGAACATCGATTGTACAATAACAACGCAAAAGGGGGTGTATCACGGTACTAGAAATTCACAAAATAACACTAATCACGAGCAATAATATAAGAGAAATACTATAACTAAATAGATTAATACAAATTACAACTACAAATCATACCTCTTTCTCCAATCTTAACTCTTTTCTTTCGGTTTCTTTCGAGTAATCAACGCTACTATATTCCCACGTGTTATCTCGTCGCTCGATTAAGAAAATTGATCTGCTGAGCTATTTGCATCTCATAACCCAACGGAAGTTACACAATCATGGTTAACTATTACACATTAATCATTACACTATGTCAATATTGTCACTGGAACTGCACTGGAACTCATATTTCGCCCATTTATCTGGTAAGTATTCGTTGTAGTATTTTAGTACTAAATAATTGAAACTGACTCCGGATTTGCTAACTCACATGCACTTGAAAAATAATAGTCACTACTTGTATAAGAAAGAGGCAACGGGACTTGCTACCAAATATTTTATTTATAGAAATGCTTACATCACTAGGAGTAAATAAAAATAAGTCTTACAAAATAATTATGCATTATCTAAAACTCAAGCCGGTCATTTACTTTACTTAGTTGTTGGAAAAAATGTACTTACCATACGCAGGTGTACTTTGCGACAAATTTGGATTAAAATCCACTGAACAGATCATGCATTTCCAATCAATGCTTTGATCCAATCTAACAGCTGATCGGTATTGGTCCCGGCTTATTCCCGTTCCACAAGTTCTATGGCACCAGTTGCCACAGCTGTCACACAGCAAGGCCTGTTGCCTTGTGGTGACAGGACGATCACACGATAAACAAAGATACACTGAAGACATTTTAAAAGTATGCTCGTATTGAGTTGAATGGTTGAATAATGGTAAGAAATGGGCTTCAAGGTAGCCCCTTATATACCCGTCTAGCGGATCGAAAAATTCAATGAAAACCTGCTTATTGGTTACTTTGACACATGTGAAAGCATTCTTTTGGGAGGGCAAAGTTAATTGATCTGTTTACAGTACTGGCATCTATTGTTCTGGACTAATTGCCAATCGTAATCATGACATCAATATCACATCAATTGTGCACAAAAGACTTCGAAGCGTATTGTTTTCGACGTAACAATAGAAATGGCGTCCACCAAATTTGAACTTAATGGATTTTTGGACACGGATATCATACTATTTTTCTTATGGCGCGTCACAATGACAGATTCAAAACAATTTGGTTTAACACGATCTTTAAAATAAGCCGTTTTTTGCCGAAATTGGTCCAGTATTAGCCGAGATATTTAAAAACGGACATCGAAGATACGTTTGCGAAGTGACCGGTATTCGAAGATACTTAACCTTCGATCAAAAAAAAAAACTCAGAAAGAATCTTTTTAGACAAACAATACTTGAAAGATATATCATATGGAGCAGTTATTTATTTGATTTTTCGGATGAGAAAAGAGAATGCCATAAACTCCCACAAATACTCTAATTTCTGATGTCGGCGAACTGGCACATTTGTGAAGTTTAGAGATGTGATGGGTAGATTGATGGGTGCTGTTGCATGGTTTTTCTTTATAAGTAACAAATCGAGAGTCTAATAGTTAAGTTTAGTTTATAATTACACTTCCATTCTTCATACAGAGTTATGCACTATATTTATGAAATATTATTGCTAATTGTGCAATTTCATGGTTTCACATTTATCACCCGTTGGAGTTTGGGTTTTGTTTGCTTCTGTTGCTACGCGACTTGTTACGCTTGGGACGGCATTGCAATCCTCCTTTTCCTCCGACACAGTGTTCTTTCTTTGGGACTGTTATTGCCTTCAAATCAAATACATTTCTTGTTGCTGTGCAAAACTAAGTAGTTGTACATTATTATTAGCGTTTAGCAGTTAATAAGTCTAATTCTTCAACAACTCTAAGGCGGTTTCGATCGAAGCATAGATAGATGTAAATTTGTGTCTTGTTCCTCTTCTACATCTATCTTGGATATGTATTCAATACCCTGTCTTCACTTCGTGCGTTCCAGCTTACACGGTTGTCGTCAATCACACAGAAACCATCACATTTGTAAATATTTGTAAATACTAGAGAATAGTTTAGTAGATCATTTAGTGGTTTAATAAAGTGATACTGTGCGTGTATTTTTCTACATTGCTCGTCGATCAGTCGAGTCACGTAATCAATTCATCATTTATAATGATTAAAAGTAACGTGATTCTCTTCTGTTGATTTTCGTTGATTCATATTACGTTTGCGAATCGACTGGGATGCGTTTGCGAATCGACCGAGGACGTTTGCGAACTGACAGTTTGCGAAGTGACACGTTTGCGAAGTGACCGGATACCCAGGCGCCAATGCGACTACATTTTTCACTTTGGTGACCAAATCCTGAAAATTAGTCGCCAAATTGGCGACTAGAATGTTTCATCATAACCTTACCTAGAGATATAGTGAATTAAAAGGATTTGCAAAGACAAATCCGCGGCAAACTTCCTCGTTAAGTTTGTTTCCAAGACGCAGCAGATGCATCTCGATCGATAACTAGACGCCATCTTGGATTTAGGTGAGCTTAAACATTGCATATCATCCATCCTAGTGTCCCCTTTGTAGCACGTTAAAGATCTTTTCCCTAACTTAATTTCTAGAACGATGACAGCGTAAAAAAAAGGTTTTGTTTGTCTTTCAAAATGGCGACCGACTTTTCTTTAATTGGCTACCACTTTGATGGGTTTAGGAGCCAAGTGGCTATCAGAAAAAAAAATTAATTTCACGCCCTGAACTTCCACCGAAAGGTTCTTTCAAACTTCTTAAGAGTATCAGACGTTTGTTAAGAAATGTCAAGCGACTCCAAAAATGCCGGGCATTTAGTCTGTTTGAGACCGTTCCCGGCTACCGGGCAGTTAGTCACTGCGTATTAAAAAAAACATCGCATTAAAAAAAACATCGCTCTTATTCAAGTGTAAATTACTCATTTCATCACATGACATGCGATTTCTCCCCTCGCTAACTGCCGTAATGTAATAAGAAAAGCGAAACTTTCTAACTTTTAAACTGTGCTCATAATAGGAGGCCCGTTCATGATTAAAAAAAATCCACTAAAATACTTCCAGGATAGCGAAGTGAGACAATTTCATGCAGATGATGGTGGACGCTCTTCAAAGCTGACGGTAAGTTGTAAAGCTGTAGATACAACAAGCTCTTTGACTCAGTGGCGGTAAGATCAGCCACAAGCAAATTTCATTTTTAGTAGAAATTATTATTAAAAATCGACTTACCGTGGGGCGCTGATAGTTTCCTGTCCTATCTCAGGCGGCCCAAGCTTACGTCTCTAGAAGAAGCAAACGATTGATTCATGAAAGCAGAGCGATTAGGTGTCATGTCATGTGATGAAAGTCTGCGCCGACAATAACTCTAAACCGTCACCAAGACAATATTCTATCTTACTGTAATTCGATTTTGTTCTATTGTCCATTTTTTAGCTTTTCGCTCTTCTATTGTACTTTTTCACACCCTCCCCTGTATATATTTCCATTCACGCGCTTATATTTTTTACATTCGTTAAAGGCTATAGTATAATAGCCGAAAGCTCATATTTTAAAACCTTTTTAACTAGAGAACGTTTTTTTACCTTTCTCACTATGTCATATCCTGATTACAGTTCAATTTTTAAAACTCTGATTGCTTCTGAAAAATGGTAAATCATTAATTCACATCGTAACGCATTTTTCAAGTAAAATTTTGAGTTATACATTTTTGGAACACATTTGGAAGCCATCGGAGTTTGTTATTCAACAGTTTGAAATTACCGCAATGTTAGTGCTCACATGCCGGCTTTTTCTGGATCTGTGAAAAATATGCAAATTGTTTGGAAGTCAGCCAAGCGAAACTAGCATTAACTTAAAAATGTTCTGACCCAAGTATCAGCATTACATCCGAAGCATCAGTGTGACGATAAGTTTTCGCCCAAACTGGAGGACTGAATTTTCGCGGACGGCACAATTACAACTGGGGGAAATAACTCGGTAGAGACGACTCGGCAGCTAGAACGGAAACTCGTCACGATTTCCTGGTACACGGAGATCTGCTTCGAGCGAGCTTATACGGACGTCAAGGATAAGACGATCTTTGGTTCCACAGTACTTTTATTTTAGGTCAGGCCAACAAGCGACATGACCTCTAGCATACTCTAGTTTGTAATCATCAAAGCTGTACAAGGTACTTGCTTAAGAAGTAACTGGTGTGAAGTGCTATTGTTACACAAATCGCAATATTTGAATAAGGACACAAAGGAGCGGAAAAAAGTCTCTTTGAAGTTAAACGAAAACTACTTAAATATTCCATCTGTTTCTACGACGGAAAGAACCTCAAAATTAAAAAGACGGATGCAATAAACTCTATGCCATTAAAGTAGGAAACTTAGGTGCGAATTTACAGCTCTGGTATGGAAAATAATACCTATCTTAATAATTGCAGTAGCGCAGCTTAGGAAATAAAAAACGGAAAAGCAATTAAAAGTTTCTGCTTACCCATGCAAGATTGGCTTGGAAACCATCGCATGAAAAGAAATTAAAGTTACGAGTATAAACTCAGCTGCTATCTACCATGAAAACCAATGTTTCCAGAAAGACCATTAACACTTATATTTACCTAAAAAAACCATGTAATAAATAACAAAAGTGCCGACAAGCAGGTGCATATGATGAAAGCGAGTAACAACAAAAATCTATTCAAAAGCTACTGTGGTTTTTCATGCATTTTTTTGATTTATTAAAATGAAAGGACTTGAAATGGTTAAATGTGAAAGTTTACGAATGAATATGTACCGAATAACACACACGGGAAAATCAATGAATTTTCTCGTAACATCAGTAAGCACTCTTTTTACTAAGTTATTATTAAGTTATTGCTAGATATATGGCGTTGGCGAAGTGACCAGTAGGACGTTGGCGAAGCGACTCATCGCGTTGGCGAACGTGACATTGGCGAAATCACTCGTTGGCGAAATCGATTGTAACAACGACTCGAGGTACACAACTGGTATATCCTACCATTGCTTTCCGAGGGATGAAGCTCTACGATCACAGTGTCTGGCAAAGATCTCACGAGCGGATCTGGTCTTTTCGAAAAACTCCAGGCTGTTCTCAGAACATTTTACACCTGAGTGCTACGTACGAGACTTGAAAGCAGAAATTCTTTGTTTGAAACCCAGATCTACGCTAAA